ACAGGCCCAACAGCAGGGAATGGAAGGCTGCTTGGATTCCTATATTCCATATCGGAGTGCCTGGGATCCATTCTGCCTCAACTGGCAATCCAGCTTCCTGCTAATGTTTTCGGGGGCAACGGATGATGGCCCGTGTGCTTAGGTTCTTGCCACCCACATGAGAGATGGAGATGGAGTTCCTGACTCCTGGCTTTGGCCTGTTGTGGGCATTTGGGGATTGAACCAGCAGATGAGAGTTCTCTGTCTCCCAAACTCTTTGTTATCATGTGTTTCAAATAAATATTTTTTATTTCTCTTAATGGTATTATCAGTGCAGTTAAGGAATGTTTGGTGAATTCAGGGCAGAAAGATTCTCCCTCTTTTGTTTATTAAAGAGATTACACTCAGATTTAGCAAATTGTAAAGCCTTAAGTACTTCATATGCTAAATGCTTCCAAAGCAGTAATTCTTAAGTCTAAAATGAGAAGGTAGGTCTGTCTGTAAAAAACGAAGACAAGCAACATGTAAACCTTCTGTAAGGAAAGCGGCAGCATGGATAGGTGACTACCTTAGGCTTACTATAAATTGTTGGGCAAAGCAAATTACACAAGATTAAAAAATAAATGGGAGGGCCGGTGCTGTGGCATAGCAGGTAAAGCCACTACCTGTGGTGCCAGGATCCCATGTGGGCACCAGTTCCAGTCCCAGCTGCTGTACTTCTGACCCAGCTCCCTGCTAATGAACCTAAGAAAACAGCAGAAGATGGCCCAAGTGTGTGGGCCCTGCACCCATGTGGGAGAGCCAGAAGAAGCTCCTGGCTTCGAATCGACCCAGCTCCAGCCATTGCTGCCATTGGATAGATTTCACTCTTTGATGTTCTCTCTGTGCTTTTCAAATAAAAAAGTAATCTTTTTTTTAACGGGAGGCCCATTGAAATAGAGTTAAGGAAATGATAGGTGCAAACAAGATCAGTATTTTACATCAGGAATCTGTTGAGAGGAAGGTGGTTTGTTCAGTCCTTTGAAAATTAGTTTCCAAGACATGTGTAGTCCTAGATAACCTTTTCTTTTTAGCAATGTATTTATTTTTATTTATTTGAAAGAAAGAGAGATCTCCAATCTGCTGGTTCACTCCCCAAATGCCTATAAGAACCAGGGCTGGGCATGGATGGCAGGGGCCCAAGTACTTGAACCATCATCTGCTACCTCCCAGAGTGTGCATTAACAAGAAGCCGGGACTGGAATCCAGGCACTCCAGCGGGGGTGTGGGCATCCCAAGGAGGATTTTAACTACTGTGCCCAATGCTCACTCCAGCTTACATTTTTTTTATATGAACATTTTATTGAAATCTAACATATATACAGAAAATCTTAAGAGTACTACATGATAGGCTGGTGCTGTGGCTCACTAGGCTAATCCTCTGCCTGTGGCGCCGGCACCCCGAGTTCTTCCTGGTTGGGGTGCCAGATTCTGTCCCGGTTGCCCCTCTTCCAGGCCAGCTCTCTGCTGTAGCCCGGGAAGGCAGTGGAGGATGGCCCAAGTGATTGGGCCCTAGTCTCCCATGCAGGGAGACTAGGAGGAAGCACCTGGCTCCTGGCTTCGGATTGGCGCAGTGCGCCGGCTGTGGCAGCTGTGGGGGTGTGAACCAACGGAAAAGGAAGACCTTCTCTCTGTCTCTCTGTCACTGTCTAACTCTGCTTGTCAAAAAAAAATAATATAATAATAATACATGATAAATATTTCACAAGGTGAGCAACTCCCAAGGTCAGTATCCCTTATGTGAGAAAGGATAACAGTACTAACACCCCAGAAATCTCTTCTGGTCCTCTTCTAGTCACAGCCATGGTTCTGATTTCTCACATCTTAATTATAAAAAACATTTATTGATGTATCATTTATGTAGCATCAATTTCAACCATATAAAGTGTACAGTGGTTTTTAGTATATTCTAAAAGTTGCACAGTAATCATCACTATGTTTTTAGAGCATTTTCTCCAGGAAAAGATACATGTTTCTTATCCATAGTCTTTCCCCACATAGATTAGTTTGCCCTGTTAAAATCTGTAAATGAATCAACAGTATTCTTGAATTCTTTTATATGTGCTTTCTTTGGCTTTATGTAGGATTTCTAATATTCATCCTTGTCGTGTGTAGTTGTGGTTCATTCATCCTCACTGCTATAGTCACAGCTTATCCTTTCTGTTGTTTATGGACATGTGAGTGGTTTTCCAGTTTTTGCATGAACATTGTATCCCTTTCTTCATGAATATAAGTTTCTGTAGGGCATATACCAAGGCGTGAAACTTACCAGCTGTAGAAGATCCTGTTGAAGAGTTTTCCAGAAGCCTTGTACCAGTTTGCACTTCTAAAAGCAAGATCTGAGCAGTCCAGTTACCCGATATCCTGACATGACTTGATAAGCACTCTATTATTTTCATTTTAGCCTTTCTAATGTGTTAGAATGGTAGCACGTTGTATCTTTAATTTGAATTTCCTCGATGATTAATCAAGTTGAGCACCTTTTTTATATGTATAATTGAAACTTAGATATTATATTTTGTAAGTTCCTCATTCAAGAGGTTTTGTTCATTTTTTCCTATTAAGTTGTTGGTCTTTTTCTTACTGCTTTATAGTTATTTATTATTAGCCCCCTCCAAATGCCCACAACAGCCAGGGCTGGGCCAGGCTGAAGCTGGGAGCTGGAAACTCAGTATGGGGTCTTCCACGTTGCTGGCAGGGACCCAACTACTTTCAGCCATTATCACCTGCTGCTTCCCAGGTTGTGCATAGCAGGCAGCTGAAATCGGGAGTGGGGACAGGACTTGAACCCAATTATTCTGGTATTGAATGCAGGATCCCAGGCAGCGTGTTAAGTGCAACAGAATGCTCAATCCATTTATATATTCTGCCAGATGTATGTATTACATGTGTCCTGTTCTGTGGTTGATCTCTGTGGTAGGTTACTTTTATGGAATAGAGAAATAATCTTATGACTAGTTCAGATATTGACATAACCTTTTCAGTTATCTTTGCCCAACAGAAATCAGTGTCAAGCTTAAGACAGCATAATTCTTTGTTTTGTTTGTTAAATGAAGTCATCATAATAGCATACCTTAGAGTCTAGGATTTGAGAGAAAAAGAAATTGGTTTTTGCACTTCTTTTAAACTTTAGTTTTGTAAGATTGTTTCATTTTAAAACATGGCTATTTTTCTTTTTCTTTTGGTGTGCAGGTTTATATGCCATATACCCGTAGGGCAGATAGTACTTGTTGTTTTTCCCTGTTTTCATCTTTTATAACAGAATCGTGATACATTCATAGCTGCAGTGTTCACAGGTAAAACTGCTTGCTCAAGAGGACCCTTTGTAGTCAGGGTTGGACCTGTGCCATGCTTCTATCAATGAGATGTGTATAGAAGTCTGCAGTGTGAGAATCCCAGAAGAACTATTGCTTTTCTAAGAGAAAGAGACACACTTGGCTGACACAAGTATTTTGCCATTTCTCTGTGGTTTGGTCATGATGCTTGGCCTGCAGTTGTGTGTGCATATGCATATACTAGGGTGCTTTAAAAAGCTTTTGGAAAATGGAATTAACAGATGAACTTATGTTGGTGCAAAATTTTTTGAAATCCTTGCACAGTGTTTTCATAATATGCATAATACGCATTTTCCATAAATTTTTTGAAGAACCATTTGCATGGGTCTCTACATGGGTGTGTGTTTGTTTATTCATAAGGAATTTGTTCATGAAATCATGGAGGCTGAGGAGTCCCATGCTATGCTATCTGCATTCTGGAGACTGTAGTTCCAGCCTGAATCTGAAGGTCTGAGGACCAAGACAGCCAGTGATGAAAGTCCCTGTCTAAGCTCAAAGGTTGGAAAACCAGTGGAACTGATGGTGTGAATTCCAGTCCAAAGGCAGGAAAAAACCAGTACCCCAGCTGAGGCAGTCAGGTAGAGAGCACAAATCTCCACTTTCTTGTTCTGTTCAGGCCTTCCATTGACTGGATAAGGCCCACTGTTTTACTGAGTCTCCTGGTTCAGATGTTAACCTCATCCAAACACACACCCAGAATCATGTTTATTAGTTTTTAAAAGACTTACTTCTTTGAGAGGTAGAGTAACCTCTAGACAGAGGTAGATAGAGGGAGACAAGAGAGGAATATGAGCTAGATGCTTCTGTCTAATAAATTGGGTGCTGAGGTTATTGATGTCAGAAGGAGAGACAGGTCTTCCAGCTGCTGGTGTTAACTCCCCAAATGATCAGATCTGGGCCACTCTGAACCCTGGAGCTTCTTCCGTCTGGGTTTCCCACATGGGTGCAGGGGCCCAAGCACTTGGGCCATCTTCCACTGCTTTACCAGCCTATTAGCAGAGAGCTGGAACAGAAGTGGAACAGTTGGGACTTGAACTGATGCCGAAATGGGATGCCAGCACCACAGGCGAAGGCATAGAAATCCTTTTGACATCTGTTCCAGGACCTGCCCATCCCTGAACTGCCTGTAACATCAGTTTGACTGGGGGCTTCTCTGTAACTCAGTCATCCTGTACCAATATCCACAGAACCAATTCAAGTGAATGCTGTCATATCTGTTTATATTTAGGAGGATGTGGCAGAGTCAGATTTGATTACACTGGAGAAAGACATGACTTCAGAGCACCACGATGCGCTTGCCCAGACCTTCCAGTGTGTTGACAAACCATGATACAGAGGGTGAGGGCCAGATTCCTGGGCAGTGGATGTGCTGGTTGTGAAGTTGTTTTGTTTCAGCTCCAAACACCTCCTGTACTTTGCTGCCATGAGCTCTACAAACCACTTCCCTTTAATGGCCTGATTTTTTTTTTCTTTTTTCTTTTTGGCATTACCAACAGTAGCAGACACAGGAAAGTAGAAACTAGAAGAGGGAGAGAGGGATGTGTTCGTTCTGTTTGCTTCCTGTTCCTAATAACAGTGGCAGAGCAGCATGTTTCCAGCTGAGCAGTGACCATTCATTGCTAAAGGGATACTTGGTTTCCTTTGCAGTGTTCCCAATCATCTAGCCACTCAGAAATCACAGCACCAAATTGCTTCAGAAATTTGAGCCCTTGGCTCTGCACATGCCTCCAGGTTCCTGAGTTGCCAGCACCAGCTGAACTGCATCCATTCCTTGGAGGTCTGATTCTAGCTGGGGACATGTCCTTCCAGTTTGTGAATGTTAATCATCCCAGGCTCTTGCCTTGGTTTCCCAGACATAAGGACAGCAGCTGCTTCCTGAAGTTAACATCTCTATGGTACCTGGTTGTCCCCCTTTTGCCTTTTCTCCTCTTCACTATCTGGTTGACGTTTACTTACAATCCTGTCTGGTAAAGTAATTGATATGATCTAGGTCTCCTTATACAAGAGGAAACCAGACTATCAGCTTCTAAGCAGGTGGCATGAACCCAGGTCCTCTCCAAAAATATCCCAAGCTCAGATGGGTTTGCCACTAGTACTCAACAACTTTACAGATTGCTCCCTGGATTGTGTGATTCTCCCTCCATGGGGATAACTAAGATTATGGGAAACTATTGTCTGACGCATTCTCTGGTCATGAAGTCCTATCCTCCCTTCCCCCACTACTTAATTCCTGCTCTGCTGTTTTCCTCATGACACTTTGTCCCATCACTACCATGTCCTCCTACTTTTTCAGCTTTTCATCTTCCCTTTTCCTTCTAGTCAATCTAGACCTCATTATCACCGTTTTAGTCAGTCACTCACCAGTACTTTGTGTTGTCCTACGCTGTTGGCCTTCTGCCCACAGCAGAACCCAAGGTGGGACACTCCAACACTCATTTCCTGGTTAATGAGTGCCACTAGAGGGAACCCACAACCAAGAGCCCAATATCACCTGGACCCTCATGCTAATGCTTTGTGACTATGCTCTATCCTGACCCTGCACTGCTGCCTCTCTGCCATCTCCCCGGGATGGTGGCCTCGCCTACTGTTTCTCACACCAGGTTGAGTATGGAGGTGATCGTGGGGTTTGTTTCTACCTCCAAACTTGGCAGCATCTTTTCTTACCTAGCTAAGAGGAAAAGGTGGTTTTCCACTATCTTTTTGATACATTCAACAATTTACTTTTTTTTCCCCTCTACTCTAACATCAATCACAGAGGGGTAGGGAATTTGCATCTGTCTTATTTGCTACAGACATGAAGTGTGAGAGAAATAGAGCATTCACAGGTGGATGACCCCAAGACTTGAGGCCCACACACTGGAAGCTGGAGTTGCCTTCACTGAGCAGAGGAAGGCTGGGAGTGCAGCCAGTCTGGAGAGGAAGGCCAGGAGTGCAGTTCTAGGTGTCAGTCTGCATCCCAGAGCTGACGGGGAGCAGGCAGTGGGACGTACAAGTTTTAGAGAGGAGGCAGGGTGTAGGTGCCATCAGCGTACAAACAGCATATAGAACCATGAGACCTGATGGGAGCTACAAGAAGAGGAATTGTCAGTAATAAAGAAAGGGAGTCCAAAGACTGAGCCTTCAACATGCCCAAGTGAAGAAATCCGGAAGATGAAGAGCAACTACCAAGGAGAGCCCTGGACTGTGGCAGGAGGGAAAGCAGGAAGAGAAGAAGAAAGCGTTTCAACGAAGCAAGGGGGATCCATGGTGTCCAGTATTGCTGGTAAGTCGCATAAGATGAGAATAGAGTTGACTGTTGGATTTGGCACTGTGGAAAGTCATTCTTGACCTTGACAGGAGTGGGTTTGGTAGAGTAGAGGGAGTAAAGGCATGATTGGGATGGGTTTCAGAGAAAATGGATGATTGAAAGAAAAATAGAAGGACACTGCTAGCTTGCTGGAATAAAATGGGCTTCTGTTAAAAAAACAAACTGAACATTTTGATGTAGTTATAAATCTATGGGTCCTAACAATGAACTCTCCATACTATTTTGTTATTGTTAATGAAAACATTTTTTGCTATTTATTTTGTAAAAAGCTTAATGTAAAATATTTATAATTTTTTAAAGTAGAAAAACCAAGAGTATAGGCAAAGGCTCTAAATAGTAATCAATTCTCATTTTTTTGTACTCTTTTAGTTACCACAGATCAGGGGAAAAAATATGGTATTTGTCTTTTTGGGACTGGCTTATTTCACTAAGTATAATGGTTTCCAGTTGCAACCATTTTGTTGTCAAAGACAGAATTTCATTCTTTTTTACGACTGAGTAATATTCCATAGTGTATATATACCACATTTTCTTTATCTGATCATAAGTTGATGGGTATCTGGATTGATTCTATATCTTAGCTGTTGTGAATTGAGCTGCAATAAACATGGGGCTACAAGTAACCCTTTCATATACTGATTTCATTTCATTTGGGTAAATTCCCAGGAGTGGGATGGCTGGGTCATACAGTAGATCTGTGTTAAGCTTTCTGAAGAATCTCCATATTATCTTCACAATGGCTATACTAGTTTGCATTATCACCAACAATGAATTAGGGAGCCTTTTTCCTCACATTCTTGTCAACATTTAATATTTTTTTATTTCCATATGAGAGCCATTCTAACTGGGGTGATGTGAAACCTCATTGTAGTTTTGATTTGCATTTCCTGGATGGCTAGTGATCCTGAGCATTTTTTCATGTGTCTGTTGGCTGTTTGAATTTCTTCTTTTGAAATATGCCTGTTCAAATCCTTTGCCCATTTATTTACTTTTTTAAAGATATATTTATTTGAGAGGCAGAGTTACAGACAGAATGAGAGACAGAGGTATCTTCCATCTACTGGTTCACTCCCCAAATGACTATAATGGCTAGGGTAGGCCAAAGCTAGGAGCCAGGGGCTGCTTCCTGGTCTGCCACACAGCTGCAGGGGCCCAAGCACTTCTTCCACTGCTTTCCCAGGTGCATTAGCAGGCAGCTGGATCGGAAGTGGAGCAGCTCATGCCCATATGGAATGCTGGTGTTGTAAGTGGTGGCTTTACCTGCTACACTGCAATACTGGCCCCCCCATGTGCTATTTGATTTTCATTAGCATGGAATATCTTTTTCCATCTTCTCACTTTTAGTCTGTGTGTAGCTTTGTTGGTGAGGTGTGTTTCTTACAGGTGGCAAATAGGTGGGTCTTGTTTAACCCATTCAGTCAGTATCTGTTATTTGGAAAATTTAGGCCATTTACACTCAAGGTTATTATTGAAAAGTAGCGACTAGATCCTGCCATTTTCATATAGAAATTCCTATTATTTGCGTTTAATATCCTTAGTACTTTTACCAGGAGATTTTTCTGCCTTCACATTCTTTCATAATGATGACTATCTTTCCCTGTGTGTAGCATATCCTTAAGTATTATTTGTAAGGCTGGATGAGTGTTGACAGATTCAATTCTTGTTTGTTTTGGAAGGTCTTTATTTCACATTTACTTATAAATGAGAGCTTTGCAGGGTGCAGTATTTTAGGTTGACAGTTTTTTTTTTTTTCTTTTAAAACTTAGACTATGTCTCTCTATTCTCTCCTAGCCTGTAGGGTTTCTGATGAGAAATTAACTGTCAGTCTAATTGAGGATCCTCTGAAGGTAGTCTGGCATTTTGTGTACATTTTAGAATCTTTTGTTTATGTTTCACTGTTGAAAGTTTGACTAAAATGTGACATGGTGAAGATCTTGTCATGTCTATTAGGAGTTCTCTGTGCCTCCTGTACTTCAATTTCCCTTTCTCCAAATGAGAGAACTTTTATTATATATCTGCATAGTCTTTTTCATCCATCCTCTCTTCCACATCTTCAGAAACTCCTAAGACATGTATGCTAGGTCATTTGAGAGTATCTCATAAATATCAATCACTGTTTTAAGTTTTTCTAATTTTTTCTTTTTCTTTTTGGTCTCACAGATATTTCCAAACATTTGTATTCTAGCTTGGATATTCTTTGTTCTGCTTCACCAAGTATGTTGTTAAGACTTCCCACTGTATTTTTTATTTGACATACTGAAATTTTCATTTTTAATATTTCAGGTCGATTTCTCTTCGGTATCTTTATTATATCCTGGCAAAATTTTTCATCCATGTTGTGCATGGAATTCTGTAACTCGTGAATTTGCCTCTTACTGTTTTTGAGTAATCTTAGAATCATTCTTTTGAATTCCTTCTCAGGCATTTCATCAATCTCTTCATCTTTACATTCTATTTTCTTTTTTAAAAGATTTTATTTATTTATTTGAGAGTCACAGTTACAGAGAGAGAGACAGAGAGAGGTCTTTCATCTGCTGGTTCACTCCCCAAATGGCCGCAATGGCTGGAGCTGGGCCGATCCAAGCCAGGATCCAAGAGCTTTTCTGGGTCTCCTACATAGGTGCAGGGGCCAAGCACTTGGGCCATCCTCTACTGCTTTCCCAAGCCATTAGAAAGGAGCTGGATTGGAAGTGGAGCAGTGAGGACACAAAGCAGCGCACAAATGGGATGCTGGCACCACAGGTAGAGGCTTAGCCTACTACACCACAGCGCCAGCCCTATTTTGTTTAAAGATTTAACTATGGGGCTGGTCCTGTGGCATAGTGGATAAAGCTGCTGCCTGAAGAGCCAGCATCCCATATGGAGGCCAATTCAAAACCTGCTGCTCCACTTCCAATCCAACTTTATGTAATAACCTGGGAAAGCAGTAGGAATGGCCCAAGAGCTTGGGCCCCTGCACCTGTTTGGGAGACCAGGAAGAAGATCCTAGGACCTGGCTTTGGACCAGCCCAGCTCCAGCTGTTGTGGCCATTTGGGAAATGAACCAGCAGATGGAAGATCTCTCTTTCTCTGCCTCCGCCTCTACTTCTGCCTTTCAACTAAATAAATCAATCTTTAAAAAAAAAAAAAAAAGATGATATTGGGGCCGGCACTGTAGCACACTAGGTTAATCCTCCACCTGCGGCGCTGGCATCCCATATTGGCGTCAGTTCTAGTCCTGGTTGCACCCTTTCCAATCCAGCTCTCTGCTATGGCCTGGGAAAGCAGTAGAAGATGGCCCAAGTGCTTGGGCCCCTGCACCCACATGGGAGACCAGGAAGAAGCTCCTCACTCCTGGCTTTGGATTGGCGCAGCTCCGACCGTTGCAGCCATTGGGGAGTGAAATAACAGAAGGAAGACCTTTTTCTCTGTCTCTCTCACTGTCTGTAATTCTACCTGTCAAATAAATAAATAAAAATCTAAAAAAAGAAAAGATTAAATCAACCTGAAAGAGTTAGAGAGACAGAGACAAGGGAGGAGAGGTCTTCTCATAAACTGTTACATTCCCCCAGTGGTCACAACACCGGGGCTGGGCCAGGCTAAAGCCATAGGCAAGGAGTTTCTTTGAGGTCTCCCACGTGGGTACAGGGGCTCAGGCACTTGGGCCACTCTGATGCTTTACCAGGCACATTAGCAGGAAGCTGAATTGGAAGTGGAGCAGCTAGAACTTGAATGGGCACCCATTTGGGATGCTGGTCCCGTAGGTGGCAGTTTATCCCACTATGCCAAAATACCATGCTCCCCCACCCCGTCTTCACATTTCTGATGTTGTGTTCCTTTGGGGGAGTTGTTTTGTCTCTCTTGTTCTTGGCTCTCATATTTCTACATTTACTTTTAGGTGTCTGTGGAAATAATTGTTGGCTTTCTCCTTTGATGACTTTTATCTTTGGAATATGTGTCTGTGGCTTAGTGGAGTGTCTGTTCCTTCAGTGGCTATTCAGAGGCATGTGCTGGGTGGGTCAGGGAGCTTGGGTCAGTGGTCAAGGGTGGGGCAGGAGTCTAGGTGATACCCAAGATGGGCGTGGTAGATTTTATTGTCAGAGGGAGGATGGGTAGGAGCCCATTGACTGTTGTGACTACTGTCTCACGTCCTCTCTGCCAAGGTGATCAATGCCCAGGGCAAGCCCATGGTGGTTACATACCCCACCCATGCAGGCACATGAACCACACAAAGGATCTCCGTGGTCCTCCTTTGTGAGCACAGAACCCTCTGCAGTGACCCACTCCAGGCGTTCAGGGAACTCTGAGCCTCTGAAGCCAGATATAGTGATTGCTCAGAGATCCAGCCGCACCCTACACCATATCCTGCAGTCAAGGAATTCCCATAGTCATAGTGAGCAAGGGATCTGCTCTTAGCCCTGTGAAGCCTGCATCGTCCATGGAGACAGCCAAGGTTCCCAGAGCCTGCTGCCCGGCAATGTTCTGCCTTGACAGCTTGAGTCTGGATGCCCATGATAGAGTGAGGGGCGAGGAGCACCTCACAGGCTTAAGTGGGCACCCTGCCCAACCCTCCAGGCCACAGTGGGGACCACGGATTTATCCCTCTGATTTATTCCCCTAGTCATGCACGAGCCGCAACAGCCTGGACTTGCGTCAAGATGGTGCTGCTTCTCTGCTAATCACTGGGAGCACTTGTTGGGGGGCATCGGAAGCAATGTGCTCGCCCCTCACGTGTTAGGTGGGCAACCCTGCCCCCTACAAGCGTCCCAAGCTGGACTCAAAGTCAGTGTGGTCTGCCGAGTTCTCCCTCAGGCAGTACCAGCAGTGACATGGGCTGTTATAGACTCCTCTCAGCTCGCTCTAAGAAGATGACATCTCCAGCCCCACCCTGGGGGAGTGACTGGTGGTGTCCCTGCTCACTGCTTCATGTTTGTGCTGTCTATGCTGTCTCTCTTCTTTCTGGAGAATTTCCAATGCAGATTTCTCTCCAACTCTCCCCCTGGGAGTCCATTTCCTCCGCCTTTGTTCTTTTGTCTTCCTGTGGTCAAGATTAGCACTTTTTTTTTCACTATTAAGCCATCTTCTATCCTTTTCCAGCTTTTTAGGAGTCTGGGCTTCCTGAGCACTCTGCAGTGAGGAAGTACACAGAGTGGCAAAGGCTGAGCGACCTGAGGCTGCTGCTAGTAGCAGAGCAGGGAAGCAGGGAAATCTGCATACTGTGTGTTCTCCTGAATGGCGATACAAGCCCTTCAGTTCTTGCCTGAGTGGATATTGACTATTCTGGGACATGGCTTTGTGCAAGCCATAGAGATTGTAGCTTGCAGGACTCTTTCACATTTTCCCTCCGTCTCTGACCAGTTAACTCCTTGTGAGCTGTCAGCGAGTAGTTGCCTGTCTGCATACTTGTTGGCCCATTATTCTGGGGAATTGTTTTAATCTTTGCATCTGTTGAATGCTGTAATCTCCCTTCCCCTTATTTGTGGTTGTGTGCCTGCCTGTCTCATCTCTGAGCATGTAAGCCTTTGAGAACCTGGACTTCCTGCTGATGGTGCAATGAAATGGCTTGGGCTCTGGCCCACTGTCTGCCTGCTGGCCCTCATCAGTGGTTCCTTCACACCCTTCTCAGTTTTCACAAGCGCTTTTTTGCACTGGTATTCTGGGGAAAAGTAAAGACTTTCTATTTCTAATGTTTCCTGTTGGGATTGGGGTATTTATGTTCTCTAAAATAAGAACTGGTTGGAATTACCTTGTAGGCACTATGTAAGAAAAGGGGAGGGGTGAAACGTAGGATGGCGTAGGAAAGAAATGACACTGTCCCTTCTTCCTGTGTGCCAGCCGCTTTCCTGATAGCCTGAGTTAATGAGATTATCTTTACTTCCTGAGCTGTGATATATTTGCATATGGAAGACATATATGAGGTCCTTTCCTGTTTATGAAGTGTGAATTATTTTGAGACATCCTGGTTGCTTCTCTATAGGAAAGGGGCCTCAGGCTCTCCCTTGGGAAGTTTCTAGGGCTTAGGAAGTAGAAAATGCTATCTTAACGGGCTCCCTTTCAGACACGATTCAGGCTGTTGGCAGATTGCTTTCCTTTTGGACAGGGTCAGCCTGCTGTGGTGGCCAACACTTCGATCCTAGGAGGGCTTTCCATGAAGGCTGCTCTAGGAGGCCAGACCTCCCATTTTTGCTGCTGTAGAGATGCCTGCTGGGTTAGGGGTCAGGGATCAGGGATTCAACTGCAGCGAAGTCTCTAGCAGAGTCAGCCAGATGGTACATTCAAGCCCTGGAGGCTGCTGCTTTGGTGAGGTGTGAGTCAGAGGGCAGGTGGCAGTGTCTAAGCTGCCGTGTGAGCACAAGGTGAAGAGCGGTAGCTGCAGGGGCCCCCAAGGGCTCTTCTGCAGCCTTTGTGAAGCTGGGAATGGCATGGAGACAGAGGCCAAGCGGGATCCCCCAAGCACAGATTCTCCACATGTTCCTTCTGCCATGGGCTTTTCTGTGGGGACACACACTGCTGGCACTTACTACACCTGAGTAACCATTTGTGAGCAACAGGGACACAAATACAGAAATAGTGTCCCTACACTGACTCACCTCTCATCTCAAATCCTTTTTTATAGTAGGAGTACATCATTTAGACCAAGGCTGGGTATTTGTAACATCACTTGCAGGCCATATCAAATTATCAACTTAAAGATTAGCCTTCTGTAGACGCACTTAATTTTGAGTCCCACCTGCAGTTGCCTTGGCAGGGCCAGACCAAATAATTTCACGGGCCTTATACAGCCCATGGGCTGGACGTTCCCCACTCCTAATTAGACTAGATTATCTTGTATAATTAACAAAAGGAAACTGGAGTAAGAGAGAATTAGTCTCTCTTCCATAAACCGAGATTGTCTGTAGCAGGCCAGTAGGAATGCATCCATAAACTGATGTTAAAAGAAAAAATTGAGCCTCGTAAGGACATAGGCACCTGAATTACAGCTTTCTGTAGAATGCTTATGCAATTATCACTTAGAAACAAACAAAATCTCTAAGAGGCAACTGGGATCTTTTCATTTTGAAAATGCTTTAATAAGTGTTGACAACACTGTTTTGCAAAATGTAAAGGTACTATACAAATTCTCAATACAAAAAGAATAAATTAAAAGCAGATTTTTTTTTAATTCTGCAACTTTGTCTACAACATCCATCTTTTGATTACAGTTGAACAGAACCCATAAAGTCATTTTACATGCTCTACAGTCAGTTTCAGGAGCAACCTAAACCTTTTTCCCCCATTATTAAACTAGAGTCCATTTTACACAACTTGTAGTAAACTAATGACATTAATGTATATGTAAAATTTTACACCTAGTTAACTAAGCAGTAATTGGTCATCTGATAGCACCTGGATGGGATTTGTTATAGTTAGAACTAAACTAATACTGAATGAAAACAAACTGGAATTGTAACAGTTTCCACACTCACCTGAATATAATAAAATAAAAAAGTCAACCTGGCTCACAACATGGTCTGATGTACGGGTGTTCACCAGTCTCCTGGTTTACACAGGCCGCTTCTGACACGTATCCAAGGAATCCAATAGGGGCTTCATATCAGACCAGGAGCTTTATAGTTCATGGTATTCTGTTTTAAAGAAATAGGGCTATATAAAGAGTTTTCAAGTGCTTGTATACAATAACTACATCATTTCTCACCACACTGATCATTGATCATGTCAGTCTCCAAGGACCAACACTTTATGTACATTTTGTATTAACTGAACACAGCTAAACAGTAAAACCTGTTTTACTTAATCTCTGTCTTTACTACCAGACTATCATGATGTTTGCTGGAACTGTAATTCCTGCTTCCATTCCATACTTCTCTGCCTCTCCAAATCTAAAACTAAGTTCTTAGAATGTCTGCCTCGTATTCCTTGTAACTCGCATTCCTTGTAAGCTTGATCCCATTGACTTCAGACTACTGTGTGTTGTAAAACCTGTACCATGCAACCTCACCGCCATCTCTAGTTCCCGTTTGCACATAGTTCAGTCTAATCATTTATCTTTTAGGAGAATGGAAAATGGCCCAATTGTGCCATGTTTCTGGATCAGGAAAGGAAGTTTTACAAACCCTGCTGTTTGTAGTTCTGGCCATCAAAATAAGAGCAACAAAAAGACCTCCTAATCATGCCCTAGACTCATTTATTTAGTAACAGAACCAAAGTGTTCTGAGACTGTTCATGCCTTCTGCAAGCTAGAGTCCCAGCCCATCCTTGCACAGGATCTGCAGATGCTGGCCCTGACTGGTCCCCAGAGCCATGGTGGCAGCAGCTGTGGCCGGCCTGATGCCAGCCCAGCCTGGGTCTCCAGCTTGACTCTCCTTACAAGCTTTCCAGGCCCCAGCAGACGGAGCACTAGGGTTAGGGATTGCATTTGAGTGTCCATTCTTATTCTCCTGGTCTGGTAGAGTCTATTGTTATTCTTGGATTACACAGACATGAAAAAAAAAGTTTTTTTTTTTTTCCTTTTTATGCTGAAGCTAACTTCAGTTCTGTTTTCCCACAAAACGACCCCCACCCTGGCTCCTGTCCCTGGCTGTGAAATGCCTTTCCAACAGGAAATCATCACAAGGAAGAAAAAAAGCCCCTCCCACCCCCCTGACTTGTGCCAACAAGCACAGCACACCACCTCTGCAGAGACCTTCTTGTGCCATCTTGAATAACCCAACTACGATTGTGCACTGGTTAGTTATTAGAAAAATGTTTTTTGAGGCCTTTGAAGATTGATGGCTTTCCAGGTGTGTATTAAGCGTAGCTCAAAACACATGTAAACAAGCAGCTCCCACATGGTACTTTTCCGCCTTCTTTTCTTCCTCTTTGGGTATTTGAGGACCAACGTGGTGCAGCAAGGGAACGGTCGTCTTATAGGTAGCTGGGCCCTTCGGGAGCTGATACGTTTTTCAACCCTGCTCTGCCTGCCAGCTGGTAGACACATGAGTAAAATCTCCCTGCCTAAGGGCATAGTTAGGTCCTTTGAGTAAGTGACAGGTATCTGAGCTCTTTGTCACACAAGTGCTAACAAATATAAAATGAGCCACAACAGTTAACACTCAAATGGATGGCAATGTGCTTTTCCCTTGGCTTCCCATAAAAAAAGAAAATGAAACGCGTTGTGCAAAAACACAGGATACACATTTACTGGTTGATTTAATGAGAACCACTTTTGGCAATTACCACCTTATGTTTACTACAAATCCCAAAAGGAAAGCAGCTTTGGGGCTGGGGCTAAGGGCTGAGTCCCCTGTACGGACCAGGGCGACCAGCACCCTCTGCTACTCCCTGCGGGCCAGGCTTCCTTCCTGTCCAGACTGCTGCAGACTCTGGGGCAGCAATGCCAGCCAAGACTCCCTCGTTTTTGCCCTGCGCGCTGGGGTCCCTTCCAGCCTGTCTACCGAGTGGGACGTGGACCAGAGATGGGGGGGGAGAGAAAGACAGGATGCAGTTTACAAACTTGTGACTTTGACTTGTGGGGTATAGTTGCAGTTTAGAATTTAAAAGAAATTTCACTGCAGAATGTCTTCTTGGCTCCTCTTATATTTTTGTAATTTGTTTCATCTTTGGCAGCACAGAACTTATTGTGGTCCTCTGATGCTTGTCTAAACATTACGCTTCCTGTTTCAATCTCCCCTACAGCCATTCCCCCAAGCTGTCTCATGAAGGGGTATTTCAGATGTAGTTCAAACATCCCCACGCGGCGTCCTCTGCGTGAAGTGCTTGGCAGGCTGTCTCTGGGCAGCCTGGACACAGCTTCATCGTCCTTTTGGATCACCCAGTACTTGAGGCCCTTGTCCTGTTCTCTATCAGTGCCACTTGTCCGCAGGAATTTGATGCCAGCTGGCTGGCTTCCCTGACAGTTCCTGGCCTGGGGACTGTCATGGCATGGGGAAGCCACTGAGGTGCCATTGAGGATTGCTGTCTGGCTCTCCGTGGCCAAGAGAGCCAGGGGACACACAGTGGGACCGGAACCTTCCAGAATGTCTCCTCAGTCAGGTTTTGAAGGGTGAAAGGGATGTGGAGACGGGAAAGAAAAAGTGCTGAGGGCCGAAGCTGGTGCAGGTGACAGTGCGTCTGGGTAAGGCAAATGAGAGGCAGTGAGGTGACTCCAAATGGCGTCGAGGTGGTCAGATCTGGCCGGGCTGGCTCACACGAGGGTCCCGGGCTTGGCTTTTTCCTGCCCGTACCACTGGACGTCAGCTAGTTCTGGATAGAGGGAGGAATCCAGGAAACAGCTGTCGTTGTAGCTCCTGTGGGAAGTCCAAGAAGAGAGAGGGGACGGTCAGTGGAGAGCGCCATTTACAGGGCGTGTTCATGCACACAGAGCCCTGGAGTGACTGACAGTCTGCCCCAGACAGAAGGCACAGGCCTGCCACTCTGCAGGTTCTCATAGTCGAGAAGAAAACCATATAGGGAATTTTCTGGAACTTCATCTGTGAAGGAGGAAGGTGCAAGCTGATGCTTCAAGGGCAGGTTTCTCAGGCTTGGCTGCATCCTGGAAGCACCCAGGGACTCAACAGTCCTAGTGACTGGGCCTTGCAAGTGGTCTGGGGGTTGCTTGAGTGCTGGGCTTTGAGCGCTTCCCCAGGCGACGCTCAGCGGCAGCCCAGCCGGAGATGGCCTTGGAGCTCACTGGGAGAATATTTGAAATTAGAGGTTTCCCCACAGCGAAAGGGTATTGATCTTTTGAATTGAGTATTCACAGATTTTTAAATCAATGCTGTTTGTTCTAAATAACATGTATAGTTTTGTGTTTATTGAAAAGTGTGCATTTAAAAATACACAGGAAAATATATAGGAGAAAAGACTTTTCTAAAAAGTATTTTAGTTAGGCATTACTGTTTAGGTTGGGTAGAAGTAATTTTTTTTAATTTATTTATTTGAAAGGCAAAGCGACAGGGACAAACAGAAATCTTCCATCTGCTGGTTCATTCTCTAAATGGCCACAACAGCTAGGGTTGGGCCAGACCAAAGCCAGGAGCCAGAACTTTACCAGGTCTCCTTTGTGGGAGGCAGGGATGCTTTTCCAGTTGTATCAGCAGGGAGCTGGATTGGAACTGGAGCAGTGGGGACTCGAAATGGCACTCATGTGGGATACCAGTGTGGTAAGCAGCAGCCTAACCCCCTGTACTACAAAGCTGGCCCTGGGTGAGACACTTCTAAGAGGAAAGGTGTATGGGCACTCCAGGGAACATATGGTATTGCTTGAGGGACAATCCCTGCCTAACTCTGTGTGGTCTTGGGGGTAGTCTCCACCGTAGCACCACTCTCCCACCCGGGGCAGACACAGGCACCACCTGGGCCAGTTAGTGTCCTCCAACCACAGCCACTGGTTCATCAATGGCCATGTGCCGCAGCAAGGATATGCTGCTTTTAAAAATTTTAAAAAGATTTTTAAAAATATTTATATATTTATTTGAAAGGCAGAACAACAAAAAAAGAAGAAGGAGAGCGAGAACGAGAGATCACTCCCCAAATGGCTGTAACAGGCCAAAGCCAGGAGCCTGGAATGCATCCCGGTCTCCCAGCAAGAGTGGCCCAAGCACTTAGGCCATCCTCCACTACCCTCACAGGAGCTGGATCAGAAGTGGAGCAGCCAGTACTTGAACTGGCATTCTGGTACCAGATGCAGGCGTTAAAAGCCACTGCACTACAATGCCCACACCCAGAACAATCAGCCTTGACGCGACAAGGCTGTCAGTTTCCACCTGTGAATGGAGTTAATGGGAAGCGGTGCTACAGATGGAAAGAACCAGCAAGCCCAACAAGCCCAGGCCCCAGCTTTGCTTTCAGCTTCCCAGTTATATCAGCCAGTCCATGCCCCTGTTTGCTTATTAAACTGATTTCTTTTTTCATATTCAATTAAGTTGTACTGGCACATTTGAACAGTTTCTTAAACTCCTGATGGAAATTTTGTTTCTTGCATAAAAATGTGATCTGGAACTCTCTGAAACAAATTTCCTTAGGGGCGTCATAGGCTGTAAGGAACGGCCTCAGCCACTGTTTCTCCAAGTATTTCTGTGAGACACCCTGGGGATGGAAGAAGTGGTTCAATGGCCATGAACATAAACTGAAGGCTTGCATTATTTCCCCCAGAACTTGTCCAACATCCACAGAACTTTGAAAATACTACTTTAAATAGTCTAATATTATAAAAAAGGTACTTTCCAAAGTTTGTGGGAAGCCTGGGACACAGCAGTTTAAGCCACCACCTGCAACGCCAGCATCCCATATCAGACCACTAAGTTGAGTCCTCACTGCTCCGCTTCCGATCCAGCCCCCTGCTAATGCACTTGGGAGTGAGTGAATGATAGCTCCAGTGTTGGGCCCCTGCTAAGACCAGGATGGAGTTCCTTATTCCTGGCTTCAGCTTTGTCCAGCCCTGGCCGTTGTGGCCTTTGGGAGAATGAATCAGCAGAAGGAAGACCTCGGACTCTTCCTGTCTCTGTCACTCTTTAAAATAAATAAATCTTAAAAAGGTTTGTGGGGAAATGGAGTTAAATATTTATTTTGGTGCTAAACTGTTTGAAATCCTTGCTTAGATTTTTTTTTGTTTTGTATTTTATTTTGGCAGGCAGAGTTGTACATTGAGAGAGAGAGACAGACAGAAAGGTCTTCCTTTGCCGTTGGTTCACCTTCCAATGGCCGCCACGGCCAGCACGCTGCGGCCGGCGCACTGTGCTGATCCAATGGCAGGAGCCAGGTGCTTCTCCTGGTCTCCCATGGGGTGCAGGGCCCAAGCACTTGGGCCATCCTCCACTGCACTCCCTGGCCACAGAAGAGAGCTGGCCTGGAAGAGGGGCAACCGGGACAGAACTGGCGCCCCGACTGGGACTAGAACCCGGTGTGCCGGCGCCGCAAGGCGGAGGATTAGCCTAGTGAGCCGCGGCGCCGGCCCTTGCTTAGATTTTTGATAATACACATTTCTCATGTGAAGACCTCATCATAAAATATGTCTGAATCTTTTGTATATTGGGTCCTAAATAGTGTCTGCTCGAAATTGCTAGTTAAAAAGAGGTGAGGGAAGTGGGCTCTGTGATGCAGTGAATTAAGCCTCTGCTTGGGACGCCCACATCCCCTGTTTGAGCCCAGGCACTCTTGTGTTTACAGTCTAGCTTCCTACTAATGAATATGAGAGGCAGCGAAAGACAGCCCAAGTACTTGGGTCCCTGCTACCTATGTGGGAGACTCAGATGGAGTTCTTGGCCCAGTTCAGGCTGTTGTGGCCATGTGGGGAAGTGAACTAGTAGATGGAAGTTCTCTCTCCCTCTCCTTTCAAATAAATAAATGTCTTTAAAACTTGAAAAACTATCACAAATAGAAATCACGTTTGTCACAGTATAATCTTCTCTGGAAAAACTAAATGGCCTCTACCCTCTCATCAAAAAAGCTCAGAGAGAGGCTGCTGAGTTCCAAGAAGTTGTGATTGGCTAAGGCACTGGGATTGGGTTAGGAGTTCTTGCCGTGGTGTAGTCTGTGTATGCAGACAAAGCTTAACTCTTGAGTGGACCATGCTACTCTCCTGTGGTTCATGGGCGGTGGGGGTGGGGATCCCAACTATGAGAGGGCGTTGAGATATGACCATGTTCTGTGTTCTTTATACCATTTAAAAATTGCATAAAACAGGCAAACCAAGATGTGAGTGGTGGTGGTGGTGAAGCTGGGTGGGGGATCTGCCACTTGTCTGGTGATTTGTCTCTGTGTGGCCCCCAAGAGGGCACAGTGTGGAAACCACGGGCCCTCCCTATTCCCTTCTCTGAGTAGCGTGGGACCAGTAGCATCCCAGAGAGAGCTGACTGCTACTAGTGTGAAATGGACATTCTTTTCAGATTGAAACATAGGACTAAAGGAATAAAAAAGAACACAATGACAAAATGCAGCTGAAGGAAAAGATAGGATCTTCTAGCCTCTGGCTCTTTTATGCAGGCTACTCTCAGTGAAGCCCCATCATGGCTGAAATAGCTAACATGTGGTGTTCAGAGCTAGAAATGATACTTAGTATTGGCATCTTCTCACCTCATGAGGAAGACACTTGTTCTCCTGGCTCAGCTAAGCCCCTGCTTCTCATTGAGTACCAGTGAGACTCTGTATTAACAGTCAAGAAATGCAAAATTCTTCACCAAGCTGTGAGTGGTGTGGGCCCTGGAAAGTCACCCTAGCAAGTTGAAGTAATTTTCTGTAACATGAGTTGAAAAACAATGAAGACCTTGGGGTGTGTCCTAAGCTGTGACCCAGGAAATAGCTCAGACCTGGGTAGTCTTGGCCACTGTGGGTCATAGGAGTGGTGGCTGCTGAGGCTGTCATTGGCAGCTGCCTGTGGGGCTTTTCACTGTGAGAAGGCCCCTTCCCAGGATTATACTCAGACTGGCAGAAGCACATGTCCTGAGGGAGGTGTTGGTTAAGCCAGGGCCCTTTCATCCCAGGCAGGTAGCAAATTCACGAGCCTTCGTCATGTATATCTAGTGGAACTTGTGGCTTATAACTGATCTAGGAAAGGGGCATGTGCAACATTAAGATCTTAGGGGGTGGAATTTTAATGGAATTATTTTTTATAAATTTTATAAGTTGATTTGCTAAATATACATTTCAACAAGAGCTTTATTTTTCTATCTTACTACATGTTGAGCAATGCTTTATATCTTCCCATCTTCTTACTACTAATTGAGAAATACGAGTTACAAAACCAGTGTGGGTTGTTCAGCAGTGCTATAGGCGGCCCCAAGCTGGGAGCTGAGGCCCTCTGGAATCAGCCCATCTGACCCAGCCTAGGCATGTGCTGCTGCCGCCGCTAGGTTGTTCTTAATTCATTAGAAGCTTACCTGACCACATTCTCACAACAGCTCTTTCAGATCTATTTCAAAATTCTCAAGTTCGCATCCCACCTCCACCTTCCAGCACACTCAGCAGATGACTATAAGGAGGGGAGAAACAGCGAAGTCTTCCAACTTGAGCATTGTGGCTCCCATGCCTTTGTTCCACCTCCGAATTTCTCCCTTTCTCTGGCAGCCGAGGACAAGGTGTCTCTGTGTCTTTCAGAGGCTAAGCCCTGCTTTTCTATTCTCTCTGCCAACTCAGGGAGCCTGCAGGATACATTGCTCCTCATCTCCTGAATTGTTCACGGTCTTGTCCTAACCTTGAAGTTCAGCTCTTTATATATAATAAAGTGAGACTCTTTGCTGTCATGCTGTACCCCCTGCTCTGTTTCTGCATCTAAGTTTTTGTCCTTGGAATGGCCTCCACCTGTCTGATCCCCTTGTTCTGTGGCAGGCCTTTGAAAAAGGTGACCCTTCTCAGCATCCTAAGTCTTATAGCATTTTGTTGCATAAACATAGCAGTTTCTTACCTCCCTTGTCCATCTCCTGAGTTTCAAATTGTTCATTTAAACTTGAACTTCTGGAACTGCTATCTCAAGCAATAGCTTCTAGAACTACTGAATTTCAGTGTCTTGTGTCTCAAGATTGTTACGTCCCTAGGACTAGGAACCAGAGTAAGCGTTACTGTTTCATAAGCAGTGTAACAGCAGTTCACAAATGGCAATATGCATATGACTGTCCCAGGGACTTGTTAATGCTGATCTGGGTTCCATAGGCCAGGGTGGTGCTCAGCAGTCCAGTGTCCTAATGAGCACTCATGTGATGAGGATGAGGATGAGGATGATGCCAGTCTATGGGGTTAAATTTTGAAAAGCAGAGCCTATAAACCTAGTACAGTACACTGCTGTCACTCAAGAATGCTGAGATGAAATTGCTGGTGCTACATCAACTCAGCCTGTCCTTAATGCTTTGAAACTCATGTTGTAGTAATGCTGTTTTCAGGGACACTGATTACTAAACCTGTAAAATGCTTCTGCAGTTATTTGTTGCATATGTAGACCTTGTGGGCGGTGTAATACCTGCTTTGGGAGTGTTTTCTGGGAAGTAGCATTGGGAATATGTAATGTCTGATGGAAAAACACGCATACAGAAGTAGAGTTCCCCATGTATCTAGTACGTTCCACTTGGATGTTTCCTTATAGGAACTAGGACATGGACAAAGGCAGCACATCTGGGATCACACACTCATGGCAGAAGGACACAACATTCCCTTACGATACCTCTATTCATCAGTACTTTGGTGAGTTGGAGACCCAGACCCATCCATGATGGGTGAGTTTGCTGTTGCTTCTCTGAACAAAGGAAAGCAGAAGGAGGAAGAGAAGAGAGGTCAAGTTAAAGAGAGGAACTGACACAGACGTGCTCAGTAGCTTAGTAATACCCACCGATTACATACCCAAGCGTTAGTGACAAATAAAGTCATGCAGAACTTTCAGTTCCCGTAACAGTCAAAAGACCGATTTAGCTTTGGAAAGGCAGGCTCTGGCACTTTTGTCCACTGTCTCGTTTCCACATCACATCATAGAGAATGGTCATTGTGAATGACAGTGCAACTCAATCTGGCAAAATAGTCTACTTCAAGGACCAAAATCTGTTTGTCTTGCATCCTCAGTAGCTCTCTGTGGTGAAATAGGTTTCAAGACCAGCCTAAGTGTGCTATCATGTGAGGGGTGCTTACAAATTTCAGAGCCTGTTGTCAGTCAAATATACAGCCGTGTATGGATCGGGAGAGAATGGGCAGATCCAGAAAACCTGGAGGATCCAGAGGGGTAACTTGATATCTGAACTTTCTTATTTGGATGAGATGGTTTAAACCATCACAGGCATGGATACACAGGAGCTGAGTTAATCTGAGTGAGGTGTTTGGACCCTGGGCCTTGCAGAGGCTGCCTGGATGTGGATGATATGCCAGTGAGCATTGTTAATGGTTTGTTATAAGGACCGAGTGGACATGAGGACACTGTAGTAGTTAAGAATAAGAAGCAGTGCATGGAAAGTTCAGGAACTGTCCACCTTGAGTGCATCAGATTCAGCTGGAGGCCTTGCTAAAAAAACAAACCCAGCCTGCTGGGTCCCACTTTCAGTAGGCCCCAGATGAGCCCAAGAATGCATTTCTGACAGGATCCCAGGTGAGGCTCAGCTGCTGGCCTGGAGACCACACTTTGAAAACCACTAGCAGGGTTTAGGATCCCAGAGAGCAGGGCTGAAATCCCAGCTCCTTCCAGCTGTGTGACCTGGAGAAAGGCTCTTTACTTCCAGAGCTTCCTTAACACTTACAGATTACAGTATTTCCCTTGCAGGGTTGCAGTGAGGATTGACTGAGCATGTTCATGTTAAAAACAGCTCCAGCCTTTGAGCACACAGCAGACTTTCTCTGGTTTCCACTAAAACTGCTAAGACTGCAGATGTCCTAGCTTGCAGGCGCGTGCAGCATCGGCCAAGTGTGGAAGCCTCAATGCTCACAGGGGAGCCAGTTCAGAAACTGGTTTTCTTATTATTCACCTCACAGACAGCTGTCACACTGTTCCAGACATCTCCAGCAAACCAGAAGCTGTGGATTAAGCTGGATAAGGAGGGTGGGGGGGTTGCTGGGTCTTTAGCCAAGAGGTGTTGACAGGATATAACATCCGCTTAGGAGTAACAGAAGAGGCAGGTGTTGCGGAGTGAAGAAGGTCCCTTGAGTCTGCCAGACCTTCAGTAGTTCAGGATACCCTAACTGGCCTTGAGAGTACACCTACATTAAAGCTATCAAATGAGCTGACTTTTGGTTTTGTTTATTTGCCTGTGGGCAGCTTCTGCTTAAAGGTCTCCAAGTACCTGGTCCCCTTTGTTAATGAAGAACAAGTGTGTGGCCAGGACAGAAGCATTTTTCTAAAGACTCCTTCTGTCCTCTGACATTCTTGCCTGGCATTATGAGTCAGCCTGAATCCAACATTTAATGCTGTCTGGAATTCCGACCAAAAAAAACACAATTCCCCTGCCTGTGTCCACCTTCCCACGTTCCAGGGACCACACAGAACTTGCCCCTACAAAGGGCTGATGCAGGAAAGGAGCAGGGAGGCAGGTGAGAGCAGTTGGTGAGGCCTCTTGAACGGAGGAAGTTGCCCAGTAATGAGCCCTCATCATCCCTGTGTTGACATATGCTCCTATCAGTAGGATCTTACTATTTAGGACACTTGCTAGCTGAGACAACCAATCTGGAAGAAGAACTGGTTCAAGGATTTCAGGGAGAACTCACCCAGTCTGCCAAGTCAGGATGTGGTGAGGACTGCTTGGGGGGGTGGCTCCAATTTCACTCGATGGTGTTGAGCTTCTCTGGCTTTGAGGTAAGGCAGCTGTAGGTAGGTGGCATGGGACAGGCAAGGAGAAGACAAAAGTCAGACACAGCAAAGAAGTTTCCAACTCCTTGGCCTACATGAACACACAGTGGCCAGGAGTCACCATTTCCAGGCATGCAGGATATAACCCCATGGCAGGTTCTCTGCACCCCCACCCCTACATCCCACAAATTATTTTCTCTTTCTCAAATGATGCACCCAGGATTCTAGGTGTCCACTTTGCCACAGGAAGTGGCCACAGGTATGACTTGCACAGCAGCCAAGAACCTGCAGATGCTATGATCCTTTGAGACCTGGGTGGAGCTCATGCTGGTAGCTAGACCTCAGGACATTTTCAGGTGTGTCCCCAGTCAGAAATTGATGCTTTGCTATTTCTGGCATAATATTTGCTACTGTCTTAAACCCTGAAGTTGGGCAGGGCTTTGACAGCTCATCCAGATCTGACCATGAAGAAGAGTTCATTGATGTAGGCAGCACGAAAGTCCAGTTGGGAAAATTTTAGTAGGGATTAATTCCTACTTAAATCCATCCTTTCTTTTCTTTTGGGAGTGGAATGTTTCATCAGTAAACATAACAGCCATTTAAAATTCTGGCTCTGAAATATGTTCCAAGAAATTGTCCTAATTTCTTTAAAGCAAACCTACTAGCTAAATGCTACAATTTCGATAGAATAAACATTCCCATGAATTTGTATTTACAAGCTGCTGGTTCTTTCCATGAGGTCACAGATGATCACACTCTTTACAAAATGGGATACACAAGGTGTTCATTCTCAAAATCCTCCTGCAAAGTCATGGCCAATTTCCCTGGACTTTACAAATGAAGAAACACATAGAAGGTTCTAGAACCTGGTGCACTCATGACAGCCTGAATCATTTTTATTCTAGTTTCTGGAGCTTGTCATTTAGCCAATGTGTCCTATTAAGTCAGTGGGGATGTGGGGGCAGAATGCAGGAACCTGCTGCACCTGGGTAGTCGGGTCTTCCTCTCTGCTCTAACACTCTGTTTCCCAAATAATTCCCCCTTCCCCGTCTTTCGGATCACTCCCATTCCCTTGGTCCTTGCTTTGACTTAAATAACCCTTGTACTGAAAACAGGTAAAATTCCCAATTTGCAGTTTCTCCCACTTGATTCTGGCTTTCCTTTTATTCCTAGAATGTCAGCATCCCTGCTCCACCCTCCATTCCCTTTCCTGTAGCCAGCAGGCAACAGCAACTCTTCTCTCTGCAGTCCCCCTCTCTCTGAGTTGGGGGTGTCTGAATGACTGTCAGTACTCTAGTGCTGAGCCTGCAGATGGCCAGGATGACTGCTCAGCCAGCGCTCATCATCGCTGTGACTGTTTCTTAGGGGAGAGAGAAGAGAATGTAGCCACTTAACAGAAAGGATGGTTGCCTCTGTTTTTTACTTGATCCAGTACTGTTGGCATGATGGTGTTGGCATCCCATATGGGCATTGGTTTGAGTCCTGGCTACTCCACTTTTGAGCCAGCTCCCTGGTAATGCACCTGTTAAAGCAGCAGAGGATGGCCCAGGTATGTGTGCTGCTGTATCCATGTAGGAGACCTGGATTAAGCTCCTGGCTCTGGAGAGGCCCAGCCCTGGCCATTGTGGCCATCTAGGGGGTGAACCAGTGGATGGAGGATGTCTGTCTCTCCTTTCTCTGTAACTCTGCCATTCAAGTCAATCTTTTTTTTTTTTTCCTTAAAGATGTATTTATTTATTTGAAAGTCAGAGTTACACACAGAAGGAGGGCAGAGAGAGGTCTTCATCACTGGTTCACTCCCCAGCTGGCCACAACGGCTGGAGCTGTGCTGATCCGAAGCCAGGAGCTTCTTCTGGGTCTCCCATGCGGGTGCAGGGACCCAAGTACTTGGGCCATCTTCTGCTTTCCCAGGCCATAGGAGAGAGCTGGATCGGAAGTGGAGCAGCCGGGACTTGAACTAGCGCACATATGGGATGCCGGCACTGCAGGCAGCGGTTTTACCCACTGTGCCGCAACACTGGTCCCATCAAATCAAGCTTTAAAAAAAAAGGAGTATTAGGGAAATTTACTTTGATTATGGAAATTTCAGATGTAACATCATACACAAGTTAACTTTGTGGCCATGTCCTAACATCACTGAAAGGATGGTTTCACCAGTGAAAGCATCCAGTTAAACGCAGAGCACCTCATTCCTTAGACAGAGGCCCTACCTGGGGAGCTGCCAGCTAAATCTGGGGGCTCTGCAGAGGTTTACATCGGGCCTATAACATAGTAGCTTCTCCCTCTCGCCCAGGCTGTCATCCCTTTGGCTGGGCAAACACCTCCGGAGACACAACTTCCCATAGCTGGCTTAGATTGCTGTGCTATTACACAGAGGTGGTGGGAGGGACAGTCTGGGGCTGTACTAAGCAGCCCTCTTGGAGAGTCAGGTGTGGGCTTACTGGGCAGGACCAGCGTTAGAATAGCAGGGCAGGAAGCTGCGGAAACTGTGCCAGTTCCCCTGAATTCCCAACCCAGTCTCCCAGCACGCCTCTCACCTGACGTGGCCTTGCACATCTGAGGCATCCTGGTGACCCTGCTGTGCGCCACGAAGGTGCTCTGGGACGAGGTGCTGTACTGTGAGCCACTGTCGGAGGAGGTGGAGCTGGTGTGTGACAGGCGGCTGTGCTCCTTGTGCGAGGCGCTGCAGCGCTGGTACCACTGGCGCAGCTCGTCTGACACCGCTGAGCGGCCCGCGCCCTTGTCGTGGGCACCCTCGCGGCCCAGCGACGGAGTCCGCAGGATCTGGGAGCGAGACGGCGTCAGGCGGCCCGCGTCTCCCTCGTCGCCACCGCGCCAGCTCTCCTTGAAGAGGCCGCCGGCCGTGTACGAGTTGGAGGTCTTGAACTGGGCCTTGACACTGTAGTGGCCCTCCTGGTCACTCTCCAGACTGCGCACTACCACTGGCGTGGCGCTGCCCTCAATGTACAGCGGGTACTCCTTGATGCGGTACTGCGAGCTGGGCTGGCTCTGGCTGTGCAGGTAGACGCCGCCAGCACCACCTGCCCCACTGGCACCGCCCCGCGCCGCCAGGTTGGGGAGGCTGCCGGAGGCCGCGGCGCCCAGGGCACCTGCCACGCGTCGCCGCTGCCGCTGCCGCTGCCGTGCCTTGGATGGTGAGTCCTCGGCCAGCGTCGAGTAGTTGGCGTTCATCTGCGCCGGGTAGTAGTGCTCTGAGCTCGAGTGGCTGGTGCACGATGAGCAGTCGTCCATGGGATCCGAGCCATTGCTGCTACGAGTCCGCGGGGTGTAGAAGTCAGGGCTCCCTGTGTCGTTCTCCGAGCCCAGGAGCTTGCCCTGGGACTCTAAGCTGGAGCTTCGGTGCCTAAAGTGCAGGGCGAGGCTGTGCAGTCGCGTGGGGCTGATATCCACCGACCTGCGGGGAAACGCGGCCCGCGTGGATCTGGGGATGCTGGGGGAATGGGGGAACCCAGGGACGCCACTGGACGCTCTCCCGTGGCTGGATTTCAACAGGCAGGCTCAGGTCCAGGTACTCCCAGGAACTGCAGGTTCCTGGAGTGCTGCCTGGACCCTCTGCTTTGTCTCCTAATGGGAAGTGGGACTAAAGCTGACAAATGTATGCCAATATCCAGAGCTCTTTTTAGGATGGAAAATTATTCTATAGATACACAGAGAACCAGAAAAAAAACACCATTTTAGTATAGCATTAAACACTACAAAATGGCTGTGCTTGTAGGTCACAATAGTGACCCTTCATATGGCTGAACCAAATACAAGCGTGTAACCCACACAAATAGCTCTCCATTTCCTGTGAAGACTCTAAAATGCAAGATTAGTGGAAAGTGAAACCCTTGCAAATGAATGGTGCACTAACTTCTCACTATTGCTTTGTCTGTAACCCATTCTGCCAATCTGACCCCATACCACCAGCAGCATCAGCCAGCAGAGGACGCCACCCCGCGCTGGGACCACAGGTGAAAACATGGTGGCTGTCACTCGGGGGGTGCAACTGGAAGCCCCCAGCATATGGCCCTCTATGGCCTGGTTTTGCTTTCTTTTGGAAAATGGCTCTATATTCATTTTGTGTCTTTCACTGTCTTTGAACGTGCACCCTGGGGGGGCCCTGAAGGAAGTCCAGTCTAAATTTGGGCCTCAGTGGAAAGTTATAAAAGGACTATCAGGTCATGATCACTCTAGCAGTACAAGGTGCTTCTATTTTCCACTCTTCCCCTGCTAACCAGGCTCACCTTTCCTGCCTCCACTTCAGTCATGAAAGCTCCTGTCATGGTAGCTAGGAGCCTGAGAAATCCCTGGCTGATACCAAGTGCCCCTGGACCTGAAAGTGGGCTCTGTGGTCCCGTCACTGAAGTAGGCTTACTGCTGCCAGCTCAGGTTTTTAGTCCGCTTCATTCAAGAGAACCTGCCTTCTGGGTTTTGGTCTGTCAGCTCACCTGTTATTTGGGCCAGTGTGGGAGCAGCCATGCCTAATCGAACAAAGGAAGATGTGGTCCAGGGATGGAGGTGGCCCAAAAGCCCTGCAGTGGACTCACCTTGTGGAATGGACGTAGTGGGGGCTCCGGACCCGCAGGTCTGGTGTGGACGGCATGCTGGACTGGGAGTTCCAGGGAGGGAGGCTGCGGATCGGGCTGTTCTGCAAGGAGCTGCTTCCTCCTCCTGCTTCGGCACAGCTCCCTGTGCTGGGGAAGCGCTTGTGGCTGCTGCAGACCCAAGGGAGCCGTGCTGGTCACCACCAGACAGAACAGCACCTTCCCCCTAGGGGCTGACTGGCTGGGACAGGGTCTTGCCCGGGACTCCCACTCTTCCCCCCCTTCCTCAGATCGCTATTCTGGTTCTCAGGCTTTTCCCCAGCAGTGGGTGGGGGTCCTTGCCCCCGACTCCTCCCACCCCAACACTGTGGAGTGGAGACCCCTGTCAGCCTTCTGTGACAGGCACGGTGTGGCTGTTGTGTGAAGCCTCTGCTCACACAGCTTTTGTTACCAAAGACTCAGACCTGCTGTCAGTGCACCTTGGAAGTTTTACAGGGTGTCATGGCGGAGAAGTGCACCAAAATGCCTTCCCCAGCCCGTGTCTCCGTTAGCCATGTAACGAGCTGGTAATGCACGGTTCAGGTTGTAGCTGTTGGGCTTCAGCCCTCTGCTGAATGGTAGCTTGGGGTTCTGAGCCACTGTGGGATTTCTACGGCTTCATTCTCACTTGTCATTTCGGAGTGGCGCTGCCTGAGATTTCCTAATTAATTCCTGTGGAATTTAACAACCTTAGAGCCATCTGCCAACACCATGACTGTGAGCCAAAACCCCAACTGCCCTTTGAATGACAAATCTGCACCTTGACATCGTCGGCAGCAGAGGGCGCTGCGAGCACAGCACTGTGGAAAGGCAACCCCAGGAAAGGAGGATGGAGGTTGGTTTGGATTTGTGGATGCTATTCGGGCTTCAGTTCCCAGCTCACCTGGAATGGTTGTGGGAGGAGCGTTTCTTGACCTTCTCGTAAGGCTCGTCCAAAGAGGACTCACTCCACATCTTAGGCTTTATGGGTGACTTGTCATAGTCGTTACGGTGATAGTGCATTTGCCTGAGTCCCTCCAGGGACTGGGGAGGCGGGGGTCTATTGTGCGATGGTGGCCGAGGAGGCAGTCCCTTGTGAGGGGACTGTAAAGGGGATATTGTGCTGGTAACCTGAGAATCATCTGCAAAAAGACAGAGAGACAAGAACTGAGCACAGGTGGTCCTTTCCATAGGACCCCCAGCCCATCCCCATTCCCCTGTTAGCACTGGGGCCACACAGGCGGAGTCACACCCATGTCATGGACAGCCCCTTGATCCTTCTCCAGCTGCCAATCTCAAGTTGGGACAAGTTAGCCCAGACCACAGCAATGAACCCAAACTTCCAAGAGACATCTAGGGGACTTAAAACATGCATGGAAATAGGGGTTTATTTTGAATGCTTCGAAGATACCTTATATCAGTTTTAATTAGACACGAATGGAGTGGAGTCTCCATTTTTTATCAGATACCACCCACAAACAGGTTTACTGGTGATGAGGTTGTCACGTTTCCTGTCAGCAGACAGTAAGGATCTGCATTGCTTTGCAGGAGTCTCAGCTTCATGAGGGTTTTGTCTGAGAAGCTGACACAGAGCGAGTGCTCTGTAAACAGCTGTTGGAGGAAGAGTGAGTGAGCATGTCATCTGTCTAGCACCGTCACCTTCCAGTGGATCTGGGGAGCAACTCTGCTCATTCCATGTCATCAGTATTGTCTTTAAGCAGTCCTCACATACTCTGTCTAGAACTGCCTTAGAATCTTTGGGAAGGAGATGGACTACACAGATTAAACATAGTCATCCCTTGGTTCCTTTGAGGGACTGATCCCAGGATCCCCTCCTTCCCCCTCCCCCCACAAAATCAGAGGGGAGGGGAGACGGGAGAGAAACAATTCACTGGGCACCACAGAGGAGAAGCCAGGGGAGGGGGAGGGGGGCACAAAAACCAACCACAGACACCCCTCCAAGCTTCCGCTTGACCCTGCCACAGTCCCAGCCTTGATGCCTGGACGGCTGCTCTGCTTCCCTTCCCTCTCCTGCTCAGGTCTGGAAAGGAAGCAGCAGGAGAAAGCCTGCAGAGGGACTGTGCGTTACAAAGAGGAGGCCTTACCGCCCCTCAGGTCCAGGGTTCTGGAACATGGGCAAGAAACTAATCACGAATGAGGTCGAAGTCTCCGAATTGGCACTTGTCCTGACAACTCCGCTATTACAAAAGCCTCTCACTAAATTGTTCTCATTCTATCTCCTAGACAGACTGGGGTGCACAGAGGCCAAGAACAGCGCTGGGATCTCTGAGCCCCCAAACTCCCCACCCATGAAACAAAGCAGCCATCAAACTATTACCATCTGATTTCTAGGGGCAGCGCCAGACTTTCCCCACATCAAGAGCGATCATTATTATTATTACTGCAATTACCATTATTACTACGACTCGGGTAGGCCTTTTATGTTTTCCATCTGCCTAGCCACTTATCACTGCTTGCCTGAGGTTTCTCTACAGGGGGAAAAAAATTAACTGCCACTTAGCATATTTCCATATAACTAATGCTCTCATCACCGAGTGTTTGGGTTTACCATCCACGGGAATCTTCTCCACGATGGTTCTGGGTTTGGAGCTCCTGTTTCCCCTCTGTGGATGGCTGTGATGGTGGTGAGCTGGGGTGTGGGCTGAGGGATCAGTTGTTTTTCTACGAATTGCTCAAGGAGATATCCTGGTAACTGCCACATTTTAAGATTTTGATGGGAGGGGCTGGCATTGTGGCATGGTCGTTAAGCTGCTGCCTGCAATGCTGGCATCCTGTATCAGCTCTGCTGTCATCAGCTCCCTGCTAATGTGCCTGGAAAGCAGTGGATGACGGCCCACGTGCTAGAGACCCTCCCACCCATGTGGGAGATCTGGATGGAGTTCTGGGCTCCTGGTTTGGGTCTGGAGCAGTCCTGGGGAGTGAACCGGGGGATGGACAGTCTCTCTGCTTTTCAAATAATAATTCTTTCTTTTAAAAAGAGTTCAATGGGATATAAAGGCAATTTTCAAGTCCTGAACCAGTGTTTATTTGTTTTAAAGATTCAGAGACAGAGAAAGAGATCTTTCATCTGCTGGTTTACTCCCCAAATGCCACAATGGCTGCGACTGGGCCAGACTGAAGCCCGGAGCCTGGAACTCCATTGAGGTCTCCCATGTGGGTGACATGAGCCCAAGTACGAGGTCATCCTCTGTCTCTGTGGCTTTTCCAGGGGCATTAGCAGGGAGTTGGATTGGAAGCTGCCAGGACTCAGATGGGCACTCGTAGGGGATGCTGGTGTTGCAGGCCGTGTCTTACCCAGCTGTGCCCTGGAGCTGGCCTCTGAGGAGGCATTTAAAGGGACATCTTGCCTTTCATTTTTACTACTGTCTCATCCAGACGCTATGAGTACTTTCAAGAGGAAAATACACATAGTGTTTAGTTAAAAATGGGTTTTGGCTACTAAAAAAGTAAAGTACCATTTACTGACTTACTACCTTAAATCTTACTTCTGGGCCGAGGGAGACACTGAGATGCCAGTAAAGAGTTTCTGTGGCTCCCACTCCCACCCAAACAGGTGCATGTCGAGAAACAGAGCGTTTGCAGGGACTCCAGCTGCCACCTTCACTTGGCTCTTTACTTTTACACACAGCTATCCCCAGACACCACACAGATTCATCTCGGTTTAATCTGGGCTCCAAGTTTTCAGCCAGGAAAGGGCTAACTTACCGTCCTCCAGAACAAGGGCATCGGAAAGAGAGCTGTCTTCACTGGCAATGTTTCCATCTGGGAAGGCAAGGAACAAGTCAGTGACTTTAGCGTGCTCCTTAAACAACGGCTTGTCTGCAAAGTCTCCCATCCGCAGACCCTTCTCTTTCTCATCAAGAAGTACTCTTGGCATACAATAAGAATGCTGTTGGGCATTTCTTTTCAGAGTCTGTGTGGAGGGTCATTAGCTCACCGCCCCACCCTGACATTACACAGGGCCCCAGACTTTGTGTATTTGGGCCCATTCACAGGAGACTGGAATGCTGAACAGCTGAATATCCAATACCAAGGTTGCTAAGCCATGCCATTGTCCCAGCACAAATTCGGGGCGTGCACTGACCCAACCAAAGGAAGTTGGCTGCTACTTCTTCCAAAATGCAAAAACCAGCGCAGGGAACTAATAAACTTCTTAAGTCACTAGTAGAGTAAACAAGTATGCTAAGTACGGACTCTCTCTCTGAAGCTTATTTTTATAGGTGCCATTCAGTTAATGAGGAGGACACGCCCAAGAGAGAGACAGGAAAGCAATCCTCCCTCTTCAACCAGCAGCTCTGCTTTCCTGGTAAAGCTAGCAAAGGTCCAGAAATCGTCCCGTTTTTGTGTTTTTACCTCTTGAAATAAAATACCATGCTGAGGAGTTAAGAACCACCTTAACTGCTCCTAATTCAAGTGAACCCTTGTTGCCAAGAGGCAGCAAAAGAGAGAAGGTGCTGAGTCATGCCTTGTGTGTGGGGAATACTCAGATCCAACGGTGATCAAGTCCCTTAAATATATTGGCATTGTATTTGCATATAACCTTTGCAATCCCCTGTGTATTTTAAAGCACCTGTAGGTAACTAATACCTGATACAACATCACTGCTATGTCAATAGTTGTTCTACTATGTTGTTGAAAAACTGTACATACAAAAAAAAATCTGTACATGTGGGTACAGATACAGCTTTTTTTTTTTTCTGAATATTTTCCATCCAACATTGATTGAATCCATGGATGTAAAACCTGTGGATATGGAGGGCTGATTGCTTATTCCTGAGCCTCGGCAGAATGATTTGGTACAGATAATGATTTCAGACAGATTCTGTCAGCAGTCCTAACACAACAGCCCTCACTTAGGCAAAGAAGCTCCCCTTGGCAAACAGGAGACACAGTCACCCACGTGGTCCCCTTCTTGGCTCTGTTGGCCCTGCTCTGCATTCCTCCTGAGCTGTGAACCCTCCTATGCTTCCCAGAGCACAGAAGGAGGTCTCAGCCGAGGCACAGGACAGAGAAGGGCTGGCTGGCTGCAGCTCAGCTGGGAAATTGGGAGGGGAGGAGTTAAGTGGTCTTGACCAAGGACAACAGGGTGTGACAAGCAAACACTGGTATTTCACGTTTCCTCAAGAAAAGGGATTTTTTAAAAATGGTGTCTCTCTCTCTTATTCAACTAGGAATTTGTTCCTATTACTTGATGGGCTGTGAACAGTGAGGAGACAGAAGGCCCTGACTTTGGCATTGTGCAGTCTCCAGCACATCACCGCTTCCTTAGTCTGCCTATATTTTTAGCTTGTAGCTACCTGTGGTAAAACATGTGACATCAGATTTTCTACTGTCACCATGTTTCAGTGTACAGTTCAGTGGCAGTGAGCACTTACCATCGCCACCACCCAGCTTCTGCGTGGGGATCACTGCCATGTTCCCACACTGGAACTCTGCCCCCAACCCCCAGCTCCTGGTCACCTCCCTCTACTTTCTGCCTTCCTAGAGCAAAAGCACCTTAAATGTGCAGCGTGTACTGTGAAAGAATACTTGGCATCTATTTTCAAGCACATGCTGACTTCAATAAAAAGAATTCTAACAGTGTGAGACTTGATGCTTGTTGGTGGATTTTTTGATGTTTCCCTCTAGTGTTTTACCAAACCAAACACAAACACTCAAACTCCCAACCCCTGCCTGAAGCTCGGGGCCCTAAACAATCAGAGCTGGGCAGCCCATTCCTCCTAAGCTACAGTTCCTGGGATAGGAGGCCCCTGCAAACACAGTAAACGTCGGGGACAGAGGAGTGGCAGGGGGTGGTAGCCTGCAGGAGGCCCTGCTATGTGTCTTCCCGCCACCAGCTTGCCTTCCAGACTTGGAGAGGGATGGCAGAGCCTGGGCTAGCTCTGGGCTGGGCTGGGCTGCGCCCAGCCTGTGCAGTCAGTCAGCTCATGGCACAGGCTGAGAGGAGGATGAGCCCATGGCTGCAGGTTCTCCCGGGGAGGCAGTCAGCAGTGGCAATGATGGCTCCCTCTGTACCACTTCTTCCCCCAGTATCATTCCTTCCTTGGGTTGTGCGGAGACAGACACGACATCTGCTTCCCTGATGCCTAGGTATGGGAGAGGGGTGGGCACTGACCGTCTATGATGAGCGAAGCCCTCTGTGTGGGTTTCTTCCCCGACTTGATGCGGTTCTCGTTGATGGCGTTTTCGATCTCCTGCAGCTTCTTCAGTGCATTCAAGTACGAGGTCTTCCTTTGTTTCTTCAGTTTCTTGCTGACGTTGGGGTCACTGGCCAGGCGGCGGGCAGCCTCCGTAATCTGGGACTGAATGGCAAACTCTCTTTCCAGGCGTTCCAGCTCGGCTTCCTGTGGGTGACAAAGGCATGGCTGTACATTTCCTGGGGGTGCTGAGCAGGAGACCCCATCCCCCTTACCCCCGACCCCTGCCCTAGCAGGAGCCCTACTCCAGCTAGGAAGCCAGCAGTCCCAGTGCCCAATCCCAGCCCTGCCCGACTGGAGGGTGGCTTCAATCCTAAACTCTCCAGCAGCTGAGGCCTTGGGCATACCTGCTTTCAAGACCCTGGGCTCCCATTACTTTCTGGAGATGAGTGTTGGTTCGCACTCCGACACTCTCATTCCAAAGCAGGGTCGCCATGCCGCTGGCCCTGCCATCACCTGGCTTCCTTCCTGCTGTCTCCAGCGAGCTTCACAGAGGACAAAGTTCAAAGCCCACCAAGTGACCATTTCTCTTGCATTCTGGGCACTATTACTGGGGCAGCCTTTCGCTCCTTCTTCCCCATGGGTTTGCTCACACATGGGCACCTCCCCAACCCCATGCGTGCCTTCTTCTGGGGATGCACCCCCACTCATCCGTGTGTCTTTGGGAAGTTCTTTCTGTAGCTCTGGCTGCCCTCACACCTGCCTGTCATGGAAGCCCTGGCCCAGCTGTGACTGGGCCCTCTGTGAGCCAGGGATGAGTGTGGTGGCAGAACTGGTTCCCCCAGCTACTTGGATGTGCTTCAGGATCTCCTCTGGCCCGCTTCCCTGCGTAAGCCCCTCCCTTGGGCCAGGTGGTTGATGGGATTCCCCTCAGAGTCCTGGGCCTGGGAGACATTAACCTGCAGCTGGCACAAAACGCCTGGTGGACCCAAGAGGATGGTGGCCCGGGAAGCAGTCTGCCACCAGCCCGTGTCCTTGGCAGCACATGGGGGTGCACCGGCTGCTGAGGGATGGGGAAAGGGTGGCTCATGGCTGTGTCTGGGACAGTTTGGAGGTGAACACAGAAATCCCCCCAGTCCATTTTTTTTTTCTTCTCTTCCCCAGTGAAGCCCCTCTGGTCAAAGTCAGCTCTAACCAGCAGCACCTTTCAAGGGTAAGCTTTCAAACAGCTAGCATCGCTGGGGAGCGGGAGGAGAGGTAGGAGCTCTGCCTCGCCCACACCTAATGAACTCACAACAGCGAATCTGAGCAAGCTTGGCCAGCAGAGACCAGGCCCCTTGCCCTTGGCAATCCCCAGTCACACTGACTTGATGACGGAAGGTGATCTAACCAAGCAGAAGCCGATCCCCAGGTTTGCTGGAATCGGCTGATGGCTCCCTTTTATGGCCCATGAGAGTCTCCTTGCCTCTGGGCACCAGGCGCCAGGCTCAATGCCTCCATGAAGGACAACATTTCTTTGCCAGATTTCATTGACTTCTGAGCACTTTAAGTCTAAAGGAAGTCAGGAAGCTGGGGTGAGAGGACAAGGTGATGGTTAAAAGGAACTCTTCAGGAGATAAGCTCCTTCCAAATCCTTCACATGTGGGCTGCGTTTTCTCTCTCAAGAGAGCGAAGAATATGGAAACGGGCTCCCACCCAGGGCCTTGAACCAGCAGAGTCACCCGGGGACAAAGACTGCTCTGTGACTATGGGCCCCACGGAGCAGCTGTTTCCGGGCTGACACGATAGCCCTGGCTAAAGACACTGACCCTGAGTCTTGTGGGGGAACCCAGACAAATTCTGGATACTCCAAGTAAAGCAAGGAGCAGGCTGAAAGCCCTGCCTGTGCATATGGCTTGCTACGGCATGCACAGGGAAGCAACGGGCATCTCCAGGGAAAACAGCAGCAGCACCAATAGGCCTGAGTCCATCTCTTCCTTCCCGGAGGAGCTCTGCAAAGTTCCACCCGCTGTGCCATTTCTTTTACTAACTGGGAGAATGTAACATGCGGGGGGGGGGGGGGGGGGGTCGTGGATGCACGTGGAATTCTACAGGCACTGAAGATACCCTTTACGGAGGAGTGTGCAAAATGGGACTGTGGGAAGGCCAGCGGGGTGTGGGGGAGAGGGCGCTTACTAACAGTAGGAATCCTTTATCCAGTTTCTGTGCCAGGCATCTGCCCAGCAACAAGGCAAATTCAAGTTCTGTGGGCAGGTCTGATGATCAGCTGGGTTTGGAAGATACTCGACGGACAAGATGGTTTCCTAACCCCCAGCCTTCCTCACCCGCAGTTCCCACCCAGGACCTCCGAGAGTTCACTCACCTTCAGGGAACTAATGTTTGCTGAGCACCAGGCAGGTGCCAAGTCCCGAGCTGAGTGACACCATTTTATACACTAGCTCATTTAACCCTAGCGACAATCCCAAGAAATAAGAATCATGAACTTCACTTCGTAGCAGAGCAAGACTCCTAGTGGGGTTTTCATTTTGGGTGAAGCACTCTGGTATGTCCCCCAGTGTCCCGGAGACCGGGGACTGTGGATCCCAGGAGATTCCTCAACACTTCCAGCAGCCCCAGGACACCTGGGGCCTCTCTGAATTCACCCTCACCCCAGCCCCAAAAGCTGGCACCAACAGGAGACTGTCAGTGACTCCTGATCACTTTCTTAGACAACTAAAACCACGCAGTATTTCCTTTTCTGCTGGCTTTGGGCCCTAACCTTTTAAAGCCTTGTGTTCCACAGCATGGTAATATTAGTAATCCAATCCAGAATGCATTTGAGAAGGCACCTCTTGGACACAGCTCTGAAGCCTGTGTATGCCTGTCCTTTCATTTCTCTCCATCTGAGGCTGGATACTTAGTACTCAACCAGAAGCTCAAGTTCTCAAGTTTTGTTTTTTCGCTTTCCTTCAAATCCGATCTCTCCAGGTGCAGCTCCCACCACGGCTGGATCGCAGGAGGGCAAACGCGGCTCTGCTCTGCACAGACGAGCAAGGGTAGGACAGACCATCCATTTTGCTCATGTTTGTGCACTGATTTTAGCAGCCATGGTGAGGTTCCCACCTTGATGGCGCGGGCCCGACCCATCTTTCTCCAGCCAGTGGCATCTCCCCACCTGCTGTCATGGCCCAAGCTTTCCTTCCTCAACCAACCAAACATCACACATTAGGTGTGGCTCCAAGTAACTAAGTGCTAAGGGCCTTTAGAAAGACAAGTAGTCATGAGTGCTGCTGGAATGTTCTCCAGGAACTTAGCCATTTGTGCTAGGCCCACAGTGTTAGACAAACAACTTCAACAAACAATCTGAATGCCTATTAATGCAGGCTAACCAATCGTACCAAGGGAAACCACAGGCCGGCAAACCAGTTCACATGAGAAAGAGTCAAGGAAAGACAGATAAAGGCATTGAGTAGAAATGAAGAAATTGGTATGGAAAACCTGAAAGCCCCAATAGATGGGAAAAGGAAGAAGAAAGTGAGAAAAATCCAGTCTCGGAAGGAAGGCCGTACCTCTCCCTTGGGCAGGATTTTCTGTTCATCCAGCTTGAAGGCGGTCCCTATTCTTCGCCGAACAATGGGTGGTTCCTCGCCAGGATCCAGTGGGTATTCAACAGGCAGTTTCCCCGTGAGCTCCTGCACATGTGAACAGCATTCAGAGTAATCGTAAGTCAGAGCAGAGCACGGACATGTCTTCCTTCCAGGGGGCACGTGTGCACACGCACACACTCTCATACTCACGCTTTCCTGCACAAAGTCAATGCACAGGTAAGAGACATCAGCACATTCATAAAAAATTCATTTCTCTAAAAGTGAATGAGCATGGTCCTTTCCTCCCTGAATTGATGTCCTTTAAAAAGTGTTTTCTGAAATCAGTTTCTGTCGGGTCTATAAAACCGCCACTGGCTTCCATCTTAACATTCACATTTCATTTCCTGGCGAATCTAGTGTTTCCTGAGTGCAGTCAGAGGAAAGCGAAACCAACTTCTTTCTTTCCTAAACCCTGTGCTCTTCCCACTGCATTTATTCCTTCCAATGAGGTTTTTTTTTTTAAGAGGTGTGTTATCTAGATGACAAATCCTAGAAAAGTGTATTGTTAAAAAATTTTAAAACTGAATATGGGAGGGGCTGGCTCTGTGGAGTACTGGGTAAAGCTGCGGCCTGTGGTGCTGGCATCCCATGTGGGCCCTGGTTCGAGCCTCAGCTGCTCCACTTCTGATCCAGTTCCCTGCTATGACCTGGGAAAGCAGTGGAGGACAGCCCAAGTGCCTTAGCCCTCTGTACCCACACAGGAGACCCAGAAGAAGCTCCTGGCTTGGGATCAGCCCAGCTCTGGCTGTTATGGTCATATAGCCATTTGGGGAGTAAACCACAAGATGATAGCTCTCTTTCTCTCCTGCTTTAACTTTTAAATAAATACTCTTAAAAGGGGGGGGGGGGATATGGAATGTGGGCATTTGACCCAGTGGTTAGATGGCCCCTTGGGATGCCCACAGATTGGAGTGCTTGGACTACAGCTGCAGCTCCACTACAGATTCCTGCTTCCCGTTTGTGCAGATCCCAAGAGACACTAGTGATGGCTTGGGTCCCCGCCACCTGTGTGGGAGACCTGGATTGGGTTCCCAGCTGCTGGCAACACCCAGCTGCAGCTGCTGTGGGCCAGTGTGGGCATTTGGGGAGTGAACCAGCAGGTAGTAGCTCTATTTTCCTCTCTCTCCTTCCTGAATATGAGTAATAATTATTCCACTCTAGTGAGACTCAAGGAACAAGCTAGATACTAAACTGCATACAGCTAACATTTTCAGTACAAACTGAACGAAAGATTATAATCCACACGGTTGACAAGGTTGGAAATGTACTTGCTTGTGTGGAGGAAGAGAATTCAGTTGACAATGACCCTGGGCTGAGGATGGACAGGATTAGACAGACTTAGGCTGAGTAAAGAGCAAATCCGAGTCAGCACAGTAGAAGCCGGGGGTCGGTGACAAGGCCCTTCCAAGGAGCAGAAGAGGCTGGGCAGTGGCCGTGTGCCTCCAACGGCCACGTGGGCACAGCCGCGCCTAGCCGGGCTCTGGTTTGCCAGCCCCCAGTCAGCGCACAGGCTGCACAAAGACTCACAGTGCTGCCCCGTAAGAACTCAGAAGTCTCCTGGGAACAGCCAGCATCCACACAAAAAGCTTTTGTTGTGGGCAGCCCTGAGTCTAATTGGCGGGAAAACCCGGCTCATGGGAGGGGTCCTTCTGGCCCTGCCCACACCACCGGGAGCCCAGTGCATCAGGGTTTAGCGCGCCCACTCTTCTGGGCTTCAGATAGCCGGGACCTTCTGTTCCCAAATGTAAGCACTCAGAGCACAATGGCCCGCTCTGTGAGTCTCGAACACCCTGCCGCGTTCCGTCCTGTTTTCTACCCCTCTTTCTGTCTCTTTACAGCATGGTTCAAATGTCCCCGAAATACTTCTGTGCTTAGTCTTCAGCTCCCTTTTTAACCACCTTTCCTGAAAGTCTGTAAATAACAGAACCTACGAAGGCTTCCACACTGTTGGAACTGTTTTTTTTTTTTTTTTTTTTAAATCTTGAAACTCATAAAAAATCAGGAAGAGTTGTTCAAGCTGCCACGGATTTCTAACTCTAAAGCATCTGTGGTTTTAGAATATATTTTTAAAATGAGGCTACTGATTTTTCACCATCTGCTCAGAGGTGTTTGAGCCGAGGTCTTGATTCTGCAGGTATTTAATCTGATTTGTTCCATACCTGGAGCCACGTGGCAAACAAGTAATTTAGTGCCATGCTGGGGCTCCTCCTTCTCTTCTGCCAAAGGCCCCACTTCGCCTCATTCTGACGGCCCTGCTCCCCAGGGACCCACAGTGCTGCTCACGGAGGGAGCAGCTATGTCCCAGCCCCGCCCCCCCCCTCCCCCCAGGTGAGGGGACACGCACAGGAGCAACGCAGCCGACTTCCTTGGTGGGGTCTTCCTTCCGCTCCAGCCATGTTTTCCAGTGTCAACATCAGAAAAAGCGGGAGCTTTGTTTGCTGCTTGCTTTGTTTTTGAGAGAGACAGTGGGACTCTATAACTCACGCTAACCTTGCCCTGACATGTTGCGTCCCTGCTGCGTTTAGGGACGTCTTCTTTATTAAAAACAAAACAAGGCTTTACAAATTGTGAAAGGCAGCCACCCAACCCCATAGGTTTTCAGTCCTCCCAGTCTGTTCTTTATGAAAACACTGCTAACGTTCGCAGCATCACAGGGTGCGTTCCCCAGCTAGGACAACAGCTTCCCTAAGATGTGCAATGCATCTGTACTTTGAGCGGGCTCCGGTTTAAATCAATCCAGACCCTAATTAAGCCGAGCTGAAATGTAACATGATCTCACTCCAGCAGCCCCTTGGTTCCTTCTCCCTCACTGCAAGGCAGAATTATTTGGGGGGGAGGGGAACACGTCCCTGTGACTTCATCTGGGACGCTATAAACCTCCTATTCGGAGCTGTTGGCCAACAGAGCTCTTTGTCATGTTATTGGGGGAGTTCCTTTTCCTCTATTGATTACATGACACACGGGTGTGTGCACACTCACGCACAGTGATGTGTCACAAAGACCAAATCTCCGAACGTTGTTAACAAAGAACGGAGGGACAGACCGAAGACCGCGGCAATGGGGCGTTTGCATCCAGAGAGAGTGGGCAGCAGCCTCTGCCGCCCGGTGAAAACTGACACTAGCACGCACACAGGCTCAAGGAAGCACGGCTTTCATAAAATCTTAAATATCACTAGGCTGGGATTTCATTTAAAAAAAAAAAAAAGTCAAAGCGGTAAACAACACCAGGTCGCAGGGCTCATCTCTAGTGAAATCCCGCGGTGTCTGTTTCCCAGCATGCCACCCAAAGGTACATCTGCAGTAGCCTGCAGCACCCTCAGAGGAAGCCCATGGCACCATCTGGGAGGCCAGCGGCAAGCCAGTCACGGCAGTGAGGGGCCCTCATGGGAGGAAACGTGTCGTCAGCTGTGGTGCACCAGGGACTGTCACTAGGCCTGGCCATGTGGCCTCCGGCGGGGGCCTTCTTAGCTAGCGTTTTGTCAGCACCAGCTTTCACCGGTGCTGGTATCCCACTAGCGCCCACCAATTCTCTGTCTGCCAAAGCATGCTGGAGAGCTTGGCCATTTGCAAATATCCCGGGAGGCTCGCTGTTCATCCCACCCCCGCCCCTGTCAACGGCGGAAGATGGACGCCATCCCAGACAACACAGACTGAGCTGCTTACGGCCTCGCGGAGACACAGCTTCTTGAGTTCCTCCAACCTCTGGCGCAGCGTCTCCTCCAGGGCCTCCTGCCTGGACTTCAAGGCAGCCAGCATGTCTTTCTTGGCCGACTGAGAGCTATCTGATTCCTGAGAACCTGTTAATAAACAGAGGGGTTACTAGGCCAGCCGGGAGGGCGACACACATCTGGACCACTAATGAATTTCACTGGAGCCCACACCGTGGATATGGGATTTACCCCTGGAGTGGAGGGGAGTGTGAAATAAAACAGGTGCTCAGAGCTCCGCATTCCAGCACAGCATGGAATTTACAGCTAGGCGGAAGGAAGGACACACTGTGGAAAAAGGAGTTTATCTTCCTTGATGATCTTATGATATGTCACATACCAAATGGGTATGTGACATATCTTAAGATTTAATTTTAATAGATTTCACACAGCAAACAGGGTAAGGAGAGTTCACGCCAGGAATTTTAACATGTATTCTAAATTTTCTTTTGTCCATTAAAAAAAGCTTTTTTTTTTTGCTCAGTTTCATGTCTATTATAAAAAAAATTTGAGAATATAGACAGGAATAAAAATAGTCCATAAACTAGTCCCCCAGAGATAACCACTGTAATGCATTTTTTTCTTATTTTTCTCCCCCCCCTCCAGCAAATATATTTTAAAAAGAAAATGAAATTTTATTGCATTTTTAACTTAACATTGTATCATGAGCAACTTCTCTCCCAATAAAATGACATTCTTTCCTGGATAAAACATCTGCATGACCCAAACAGTGAACTGCAAGATGTGAAACCTCAGAAGAAGGCAAACTGAACCAAACAAAAGAAACACAAGCTGAAATGCCAACTGGAGGAATTCGGGTTAGACCAGAAGAAGAACTGTCGGGCCCTAATGTTTGGATTCTGAAATCCGTTTCCTACAGTGAAGCTATTAACGCCTTTTCTACCTTGATGGGTTAGAGAAAGTACAGTGGCTTCCTGGAAAAGGAACAGGTGACTTGTTACTTCTCCTCTCCTCCCAAGTGTCACTGGGTATGTACTTAAGAGGCTCAGACCACATAACGAACAGCCTCAAACAACCTCAAACGCCTAGACAGGGTAATCTAGTTCCAGTGGGATCTCCCCAGTGAAAATTCTCAGACTCTGCTCAGAAAAATTAAAGACACAATAACAGAGAGAAATATATTGTGGTTGTGGCTTAGAAGTAGGATATTCTGAAAATGTCAATTCTATCGATTGAACAACAGAATCAATGCAATCCCAATAACAATCCCAGCAGGTTTTGGGAATAAGCCAGTTGAAATTCCCAGAATCAACAGTTCCTTTTCCTCCACTGATAACAAATGGCAGCTCAGAATCATGAAGCTAGAAAGAACTGTCGTGCCTTTGCAACACACAGGTCCTGCCATCCTCAAGTTATCCCCATAAATACACTTGTACTCTTCTACTCTTTGATTTAAAGGTTCTGACTAGGAAACTCACACTCCTTCAATTACCATTCATCTAGGCTCTGCGAACTCTAATCACCAAGAACTCTCAATGTCTACGTACATATTGGCTGTGACTTGGACTTTGTTTTTTCTTCTCCACCCCATTTGTCTATCACTGTAGGGATATAACCATATTCATGCCTCCACAGTAACTAACAAATATTAGCTAGAGTGAGCACACATAAACATTGTCAGTTATAGACTTGGATGCTCTAATTAAGTTGAGTCTCTCCTTGGTAATAAAAAGCCTCGCACCTCTAAGAAGTTTCTTCGTAGAGCCTCCTTTCTCAGCTTTGAATCATGTTTGCAGCTCTTTTCCTAGAGTTTGATGTGCTACAGTTGCAGGTTTCCAAACAGCAAACTCAAAAGCAAGCTTGATCCTCACCAAGACTCCATGACCTCCTGGTTCCCACACATATGGTATGTGGTATCACACTCAGGCAACACACTGCTCCGTATCACTGCAGGATGGGCTAAGTAAAAAGCTTCTACACTCACTCTTGGTCTTGGTTCTGCCACTAACTTGTTCTAAGTTCTAGAGCAGGTAAATTAACCTACCTGGCCTCACTTTCCCTATGAAACACAGAGTTACTTCATGGTAGCATGACTGTTTTAAAGACACCAGCAATAGTATACAACTATGACAGCATTCCATGAGGTGATATTTATAGTCCTCACTACTAAATTTGTTCTCTTTACAAAACAGATATCTAATAAAGTGCTTGGTCTTAAAATACATCTTTGGCCAGATGTGCCCCAACCTTGTATCCCGATTATGAGCTGGTGCTACCTTCTGGGATATTTATTTGAAATATTAATACTTTGGTACTTAATTATCAATGTTCCAAGGTATGTATTTCTATCTTTGGGATTAATGGAGAAATAATGGGGGAAGAAGAGTCTACTTACTATCTGTTAACCTAAAGCAACCGTTTTGTTCTTAGAGCAAATGAAATCTTTTTTGGAAATTTTTAGCCATGTAATTTTTTTTAGCATTTTGTATGTGCTTCTAAGAGTATTACTGATTCTAAGCACAGACTCAGGAAAGTGGGCCAGTAGAACAAGGCATCTCCAAGAAGCTAGTTTTATTTGGACCTTGGTCTTCCCTTCCCATACTAGTAGGTTTATCTCCTTTCCCAAGGAACACACATCATGCCTGGTTTTTTTTGGGTCATGTTTACCTTTTTTGGTCATATATAAGCAATAAAGCTGTTTTCTGTTCTTCAAAAAAAAAAAAAAAAGAAAAGATGTTTCGGGTTTTATACTTCCATAAGTCAATTATCCTGCGCTTATCAGCACTGAACTATCTCCAGTCTGTATGCATCCAAGGCAATGTGGCTAAATCATCTTGAATCTTAATCTGGTTCTCTCGGGAACAGCCACCACTCACATGTAAAGACAGGAAAATTTAAAGAGGCTCTCTCTGTTGCATCGTCTCAAGAATTAATAAGAATGTAAAATAATACTGGGAGGAAGTCAGACTTTGGGTTTAAAAAACAGTGCTGGGGAAACTTGGGTCCAAGAAGATTAAAGGATTTCTTGCTCAAGTGAAAAATTCATTGTTTTCCCTTTCACCCCTGCCTAACCTCACAATAGGAAATGATGATTTCTTAAGCGAAATCTAAGAATTAACCACATTCAGGAATGGCAAAAATCACAACTGCATTCAACTCTGGGAGGTAAAGCACGCAATTTTTGGATGATTGGGTTTCCAGTTATGGGATTAGTTACGATTTGGCCTTGAGTTACAGGGCTCATTAATGCTGCCTAAATTATTATTATTTATAATAATTAGTCTAAATACCAAACCCACATAAGACAGGCCAGAGAATCCTGGCGTGCTAGATGCTCGAGTCCTCCCAAATTGGCACCAGTAACACGGGCTGGCTCCGCCTTACACCTTAGCCTGGAAATGGCTTCGGGAGATACGGGATTCCTGAGTACTAAGTTAAAAAGGCTGCAAAGTGTCTGACCCTGCCTGCACTAGACGTGCAGAATTCCATTTTATTGCTAACTTGACACTCAGAAGATCTGGGTTTGATAAAGTCTCAGCTATTCACTAGGCATGTGACCTCGGGCAAGTGACTTGTTCTTCTGAATTCACTATAGAGACTAAACGCCTACGGAGGACTCAGCACCTTGCCTGGAACAGGTAACCTCTAAACCTAGGGTAGATTTAGGATGAATATACATGTACACACACACAAGGCTGAGAAACAAATGAATGGAACCACCTCTGCACTGACACTCAAGGTCAAATGAAAGAACTTGACTCTGCGATTCAGTGTAGACTCAGGCTCTGAAACTCACCTTTAGAAAGCAGCAACCCAGGTTTAGGCAATATTTTTGCTGTGCTTCTGCAGGCCGTGGGTTTGCAGACAATCCCCCAGGGCTGTCACAGTTGGAAGGTGTGAAAGGGGCCCAGGAGATTCAGGGGCCTCTGCTAGTTTCTACTCCATATCCCTCAAACCAGAGCACTTCCACAGGAACTTGCTTCTGGTATGCAGGTTGCATTTCAAAAAGAGGATCCCACAACCTAGTTTTCTTCAAAGGTAATCCACCTTTGAGTTGCCACGGCTTCTCCACGCTGGAGTTTGTGCGATCAGAGCTCATGGATCGTCACCTGTGACTCGCAGACACGGCCACCACTGGGAGAGGCGGCCGTGTGCCCAGGAGACACATCCCACAGAGAGGCGTTTAAGGTCACGGAAGGAGCCTGCCCTGCCCTGCCACCTGCCCCACGAATGGTCTCTGGGCAGCCCATGAATGAGATGCTGGGCTCTAAAAGGAAAGAAGTCACAAGAGAGGCAGGAGGCCAAGATTCAGCAGGCTGGTGGCCTTCATCCCCTCCGGGGACAGAATGACTCCAGGAAGAAAACGAGTCAGGGACGAGCCTCAGGGCTCAGGTCAGTGGCAGTCCCACAAACTAACAGTTCAAGAGCGTGTGCAAAAACGGTTCTAGACACAGAAGTAGTTTCAGCTTGGCACCTGGACTTGGGGAATGGGATGGAGGCTCTGGGCTTTTATGATTTACCCATTTCCATAGGAATCCAGTGTGGGGTAGGGGTAGGGCCGAGGCAGGGTTAGGGTTGGAATGTGGACGGGAGGGAGGGGAAGCCCCACTTTGTTCCTAAATCTGTATATATGAAATATATGAAACTTGTATAACTGAAGTAAAATTTACAAAAACAGAGAAAACGTACAAGCCTTTGCAGATGCCAAGACCTCTCCAAGGCTGTGAGTTTAGCTCCTTGGAAACAAAAAGAATAGGGGCGCCGGTGCCGCGGCTCACTTGGTTAATCCTCCACCTGCATGGGAGACCAGGAGAAGCACCTGGCTCCTGGCTTCAGATCAGCGCAGTGCACTGGCTGTAGCAGCCACTTGAGGGTGAACCAACAGAAGGAAGACCTTTCTCTCTGTCTCTCTCTCTCACTAACTCTGCCTGTCCAAAAAAAAAAAAATAGGGGCAGGTGTTGTGGAACCGTGGGTTCAGCCCCTGCCTACAATGCTGGCATCCTGTATCAGATTGCTGGTACAAGTCCCAGCTGCTCCACTTCCAATCCAGCTCTCTGCTAATGGACCTGGGAAAGCAGTGACTGATGGCCGAAGTGCTTGAGCACTGCCACCCACTTGGGAGACCTGG